TTACCAGTTGTTTGTCACGTTTTGCTTATTTTAAGAAAAAGAATTGATAAAAGTCTACATCTGTTGACGATAATGATCTTCCCCTGTTAGTTCATGTTTGTTTTATGCAAGTTAAGCCTACCAAGTTGGCAACATAAATGTTTCACTTCAAGTCACTTGTTTGTATTTCGGGGAGTATTTCGGGGCAGGGCAACAATTAGTATCGAAATTAGGATTTTGATGCCCACGGCCAGCTCTGACTTTGTTGCCACCGTGTGCCAATGCCTTAAGATGGCACTGCTTTTTCTCCACTAATTTTCACTTTTCAGTAGATAGCAGGGGCGTAGCTACAGTAGCTATTGTTATTTCCACTCGGGACTAACACCTTAGTCTAACATGATTGTAAACACAAATTTTTACTCAATTTTTTTCGATTCATATATTGGGTGAAGTACAACTCGTTGACGAGAGCTATTCCTCTTTAAGAAGTACCCTACTTCAATTCGCATTTATAATATTAATTTTTTAATGTTCCGATAAAATCGTGGGTTAAATTTGGGAAAAGTGCTGTCCACTAAATTTTAAATTAAATTAAATTGTAAAAAATACCTCAATATTCCTTATCAATATGTGATGCATAATGCTTCTAAAAAACTGAGTCTCATAGAAGCGTGAGCCCCCTAGAAGTAGAAGCGTGAGGCCCTGGGCCAGTGCCCAATGTGCCATGCCTTAACACGGCACTGCTCAAGTGGGCCTATTATTTGTTAGTTACATTGAAAATATATGCATAAGGTAAGTCTATAAACTGGTTACCGGAAATTTGATCGAAAGAAATTTCGTCGACGGTAAATTGATCGACGGTAATTTGATCGAACGGAAACTTGGTCGAATCTTTTTTTCCGTTCGCACGTTAACATTTTCGTCAAATTTCTTTTTGAACGCACTATACTATTTAGTAAAACAAAATAATTCGTTCAAAAATAAATTTGATGCAAAATTGTCACGTAAAAATTGAAAAGAAGATTCGACCAAATTTCCGTTCGATCATATTACCGTCGACCAATTTACCGTCGACGAAATTTCTTTCGATCAAATTTCCAGATACGCTATAAACTAGGTATTTTGCACACACACAAATACTTATAATTAAAAATACCTTTATAAAAGATGTCAACATCAATTAAGGGGCCGTCCATAAAGTACGTCAAGCTCCAGAAGGGGGGGGGGGGGGGGGGTGGAAGAAGGTGGGACAGTTTGGCACATGGGGAGGGGGTGTAAGAAAGTGTGACAGTTTGGCACATGGGGAGGGGGGTCAGGCCATGTGTGACGTCACACATTTATTTTTTTTAATGTTATTTCTAATTAATTTTTTAATATTTTTTAAAGTACAATTTAATAGCTTTAAAATAATTTTCAAAAATTGTGTGAAACATTTGAATTAGTTTTATGTCAAAATAGCATGGAATGCGTATGTCCTGAATGTGTTGTTCACAATTCCTCTCGCTGGCAGCGCTAGTATGCTGTTTGCGAAGCCTTGTTTTATGTATGGTCTTGCCGAGATCAACAGGAGTTTTCAAAGTATGATCTTTCAAAGTATGATCTTTCAAAGTATGATCTTTATGGTCCATCTTTGCAGACCAGCTTACTTGATCGAATTTGCAAACTATGTTACCTATACTTTGCCTCACAAACAATGTTGAAGAAACATGCAGGACAACACAGAGCTCGGGCTCGAGAGAATGTGCCAACCCAAACTGTTCCAGAATAAACTCAGAATAAACTCAGAAAAAACGCATCAGTCCTTTGAGAATCGCTGCTAGAAGGCAAAGAGAACTCATGGCAGTTATTGCCAGAAGAGAAAATGCACATTCAGAGGATGTTGAGTGGCTAGATGAGGATGAAGTTGATCTCTTTGCAACTAGCCTTCCAGGAAACGATGATGGTGAAAGATTGATGCCAGTCGTAACTATGGATGAACACTTCACCGTGGATTGATGATGTCCAGTGAATATTTTTTAATTAAACATTATTCACAGGCCCATAATGAACAGATTCAATTTAGCACAAGAGTTTGTCACATAATTTGTCAATCTATTCTTTCTTTAGTCAAATTGTTTTGTTTCCTTTTTATTATTTAATCACTGGGTGAGGTCAAGTTTAGCTTATCTACTTCTCATCCTTTGTAAAAGATGGCATAATCGGAAATTATCGAAAACTTGACCTCACCTTTTGTAAATGAAAAAGCAGCAGATACATGATGTGTATTATATAATTGTCTAGTCAAATTTTTGTTTTCAAATTCAATCTAGATTGAGTTACTGCTTCAGTGAATAACTGTGACACCTGTTGACAATTAACTATTCTACTACTAAAGTCATTTTAATAATGTGATATCGCTTTTAAGTGGAAATTTTATATTTTAATACAGTTTAATAGTGAAGTGTGTTTTATATTAAATGTTAATTAGGTGTTAATTTTTTTAAAAAATGTGTTCGAAAGTATGACGTATTTTAGGGGGTGGGTTGGTCCGAGATGTGTGACGGGGGGGGGTAAAAATGGTCGAAAATAGCGTGTCGTACTTTATGGACGGCCCCTATAGTGAACGTAGCATATGGTTAACGGTAAATTTACAACGCTTTAAAAAATATTATAATTAAACAACCCTTAAAAACAAAGATTTTCGTATGAATCCTTTGCATACGTTTAAAATTATTTTATTTTATATGAATAGTCTAATACCCCTCCCATTTTTACACCGCAGATTTTTTCACCAATTATTTCATAAAAACAAAAGAAAATATTACGCACCAAACCACTTTGGTATAATTTATTTATATATATATTTGTAAAGAATCTCATTTAGCGCAGTTAACTTGGAATTTTATTTCATTAAATTCGTGGCAACATATTTCCTTTACCGATTTTTTTGGGGTTGGGAGAGGGGCTCAAAATTAGAAAAATGTTTTGTCATCGGCAACGAGGCTATTTGCCAAGTTTTAGCTCGATATGTTTACGGGTAGTGGGTCAATTAGCCGTCGGAAGATTTTGTCCTAGATACACAAAAGCGAAGTTAATACAGATGATTTTTAAAAATGACTTTTTCGTTGTGATTTTTAAATCCTTTATGTATTAACTTTGCTTTTGCAAGTGCCTGCAAGGCTGGCTCACTGTCAGTTTTCTTCTTCTTATTTTTTAAAAGTCCATCTTTCAATATTTCATAGGATTGCAGATGGGTCGCTTCAATGAGAAGTCCGGCTTGTAGCTCATCAACAGCACAACCAAGTGGGTTTTGAAAGATGACATTATTAACTTTAATTTCATCAGTTCCTGGCGGACCGTAGTATGCCGACCCCTGGCTTAGAGCGTCACACACTTCAGCTCAGCCAATCATTTATGGGAACATGCACCAGACCCTCTAAAATAATTAGATCAAGTTACTGCACACACAAAAAATGCATCCAAAACTATCACTTAAATCACAAGTTAAAATATATTTCCTAACAAGTTAAAAAAGAAAGAAAATAGATTTCCTAACAAGTTTTTAAAAAATAGGCTACTGAAAATAAAAAGATAAAATAATTAGATCAAGTTACTGCACACACAAAAATGCATCCAAAACTATCACTTAAATCACAAGTTGAAATATATTTCCTTACAAGTTAAAAAAGAAAGAAAATAGATTTCCTTACAAGTTTTTAAAAAATAGGCTACTGAAAATAAAAAGATAAAATAATTAGATCAAGTTACTGCACACACAAAAAATGCATCCAAAACTATCACTTAAATCACAAGTTAAAATATATTTCCTAACAAGTTAAAAAAGAAAGAAAATAGATTTCCTAACAAGTTTTTAAAAAATAGGCTACTGAAAATAAAAAGATAAAATAATTAGATCAAGTTACTGCACACACAAAAAATGCACCCAAAACTAGATCTATCACTTAAATCAAAAGATATCCTCATTAAATCAAAAGATATCCTCATTAAAACATTAAACCCTTAGGGTAATAGCCTACCTTTAAAATATTTATAATTTATAATAAATTACTTTAAAAGCTGAGAGATTAGCAACAGTTTGGGCAATCCTATCAAATTATGGAAAATGGATTTCTTAATATGTGGCCTAATAGTTAATAGGTTTGGCCCAAAATAATTTTTTCAAATTAAATGTTATTGGCCTGTGCACAATTAAAAAGTATTTTTGAAAATATCTTAAGTTTATCAAAATTTGATTGCATTTATTGAAAGGTTGTTTAATTTTTCCCAAAAAATGTTGTTTGCAACATCGTTTCATGGATTAAACAGCTTAGTTCTTCTTTTAATTTTATTTCGTAATAGTATTTACTGATTTGAATTATATTTGAATTATATATTATATATACTGTGGTGAATTTTTTGGGTTGGGAAAAAATGTCGCAAATGTAGGCTATCCTGTTAATAAATCTACAAAATAGATGTGGCATTGAGACAATTTTTGTCAAGATACCGGTATCCACAATTTATTTTAAAAAAAAAAAGCCAATTACATGTGTATAACTTATAGTAGATGTATTTTAAAATCTTGATAAAACAAATTTTTGTTATCCATTTTTAGAATGTGAGGTTTGGAGGGGGTGGGGGAGGGGGAGCTGAATAAAGCTAACAAAATGTGTAGGCCTATCTATGCTAATGACCATTTGATAACATCCACCACTGTTAAAAATGTTCAAAACACAAAAACCAGATGAAAATTTAATTGTGATCCAAAATTTTAATAGTAAAAGCTGACAGAACAATAAAATAAATATTTACATGATTAATTTCTAATTTTCATTCCTTTCTGTAGACATCAAATTTTTTATCTTTTTAAAATGTTTTTAAAATAAATTTAATCTATTTTAAGATTTTGCTTGTTAAATGAATAATATGTAACAAAGAAATGAGTATTCAAAGAAAAACTATACCAAAGCTAGTGATACTAACAATATTCAATTAAATTATACAATTAAATTTATATAAAAATAAAAAAATAAATGGATAGAAATAAAAACTACATCAACTTTTAGCACAGCAAGTGAAAACGTACAATACTCAAAGGGTACAAACATAAATTACATACACACACATAAAGAGTACACTCTTAAAAGTGTGTTATGTCTCATATATGTAACAGACAATTGCTCCCTCGGCTAGGAAAGCTGCCAGCCTATATATAGTGATTAAATCAGTACCATTCACAAAAGAAATTCTAGAAATTGCGTCACCAGATAGCATTCTTAAGAACAAATAGAAAATATTCCAGCGTTAACAACCTAATTACCTTTTCCCAAAATTAAAAAAAATAAAAGGGATAGGGGAACTTTAGCTCCACGTTGAGTTGAAATTAAATCAAAACATAGACTATACTGTAACAAAATGTTTTAAAATATTTCCTGAGTCAGTCACTCCTGGTTCTGGTAATGTTTCGTTGCTCCTACATTATAAAGGTTAACAGTTGTACATGAAATATATATGCATAAAAACAGATACTAAATGAGTGCTTACAGAAGTCATTTGAAAAAAAAATAAGAATACATTTATTAGTTTCAACAATTGGCTAATGTGAATTATTGACATCACAAAATTTAATATTACTTTGAATTCTTTAAATTGACATAACAAGATCAAAAAATAGATACATAACCTGTGCCCCTCAGTAAAGTGGATTAGTCAATTAGTAAAACAAAACTGTTCACAAGACAAGCATTTTGAGAGAAGGGTTTACTGTAAGCCATAGTACTTGTTTTACATCACCACAAAATTGAGAAATACTTCTCTCTAACCAAACCAGTGTTTACAAAATACTGAAAATATGTGGGAATACTTTTTATTTGGAGAAATGTAATCATCATCATTTAGATCCATTGGTGATGTGGGCATGTGCCTTTCAACCTGGAATAATTTAAGAGTTTTTAGTAAGCGGTATTCTCTTAATTAACAAATTTCAGTTTCAGGTTGTTTTTGTATTCAAGAGCTTGAATATGTCTGGCTGATCTGGCCAGCAAATTTTTTTTTTTTAATTTTAAGGGTGAAAAAAAAGACTTTGACAGCTATTTTTACTTTAGGGAAAGTTACTTGATACAAATTTTTGAAATACTAGGTATGAATTACCAAATTATGCTTTAACAAAATTCATATTTAGAAAGGAATATACATATTTACATTACAAAAAGAACATAAGATCCTACATATTATATGTATCAATGAAGCAAAAGTTTTGAGTGAAAGGGGTGTTAAGCACCGTTGTCTGTAGGGAGAAATTAATCTCTTAGTCTAAGTTTATGGCTCGTTCTAAAAAAGGGCATAACAAAAGACGATACCAAATGATGAAAACAATAACAAATAATACCATTCTCGGAACAGGGCTAATTACAATTAATAAGTTTTATTAAATTAATAACAAAGTACAAAAGTCTAAATGAAATATAATTAAAAACTATTAACTTACAGTAAATTGTATGGCTGGTACCAACGTACAACGTCCAAATAAAACACAGTGTGCAAAAATGTACAAATAATGAAAAGAAGTCTAATGTAAACAAACTCTCACACATTCCAAAATAACCCTCACAAACGGTCTGCACATCTGCTCTGCAGTCTGCATGCCATTCGCCTGTATAAATGGTCTATTCCATATAAAAATTCCAGCCGTATTAGTGACTCGAACATTCTACAATTTACTACCATTTTCGAGTCAAGAAAAACAGACGATAGATTGGTTTGTGGTAAACAAGATCAAAGGGAATAAGCCATGGCCAATACTAACACAGCGTCTGCTAGAGTTCACAGCACGGGGGAAATTTGACGTACACACGTCATCTACTTAACAGGGGATTTTCCCATTGACTAAAAAGGTATAGTATATAAGGAAATGAATAAAGATAAGTTAAGGCTTAAAATGAAAAGACCGGACAATCAAACAAACATTTCGGGGTAGGTTCCTTCTTCCGACAAGACAAAACAAGAAACAACAAAGAATTAGAAATGAATTCAAAACATATGTGTAAGAAGCTCTCTGTGTTGACGGAAGGATTCTATGTTAGAGACTGATTTTTATTTGCCCGAAACTTGCCTACAACCTAAAAGTTCACACAAAGCTAGGTCAAGAATGATTTGTCAAAGTTATTAAGTTAACTGTTTTTTAGCCTTAAGTTTCCCCTTTCGGGAGGCAAAGACATGTTGATGGGGGGGGGATTTTACTTAATGTGCTAAGCAATTATATAAACAGGGTAATGAATATTCTCTTTTCTCTTTAAAGCGCCTAGCTCCAATTTCTACAAATCTTTTTTAAAGTATGGGCTACTTCTATTCCTAAATTTTTCGCAATGGAAAATAATTCTTTTCAAGAACATTTGTCTAATGTTTCTACTGGAGGGTTCTTTACATCAAAGAACATTTTCTATTTCGAAAGCAGGTAAATTGTATGAATATATTTTAATGATTTAAAAGCTTAATGAGCACACTAATATTTTTTTTTTTAAATAATAATAAAAAAAAAAAATTTGCGATAAGCTCTGGTATTGGTATTGTTAAAGATATAGTGAAAATAATTTGTTATTTGTGTCCCTAAGAAAAGATGGATACAAGTGACCGGACAAAGACCAATTTGTTATTGGTGGCAGTAAGAAAAAAATTGTGTGCAATCATGGACAAGTTCCTCAATTTGTTACATACCACTATAATTTACTCTGTTTTAAGATTTGGGTTGTTAAATAAACAATATGTAATAAAGGACTAAACAAAAAAATTATGCAAAGAAAAATGATACCAAAGCTAGTGATCCAAACAATATACCATTCAATTTATGTAAAAAATCCAAATTCAAAGATACAGAAGTAAAAACTATATGCAATACTATACACACAATTAATAATAATAATAATAAGATTCTTTAGAGAAAATAGAACATATTTGAGCGTAAAAAACCTTTACACAATCAACTGAGGGGTGGTTTAAAGGACTGGTGCTGCACATTTAAATTGTGACATCAATCCAAAAAAAAAAACTGGGGGGAGGTGAGAGAAGGTTGAATACCACTGCTTGTGGTGAATAAAAACTAGGTCAATGTACAGGCTATTCAATCTTGACAGGAAACCAGATGGCCACATGAGAGGAATACAACCTTGACTTCTTTATCCCAACAAATCTTGCACCTTAAGTTTTAATGACGTGTATTGTTCTAGTCACTCGGTTCCTTTTTAGTTCCTGAAATACACAATAAGTAGATATATCCATAAGTCATATTGAATACCATTATATAAGTAAGATCCATAAATTATATTGAATGCCATTATATAAATAGTGATTGTCTATTGGAACAACAATGTTGTTAATTTTTAATCCTACAAACAACATTATACATTAATGTTTAAATTTGTTGCAGTTAAATCTTAAACACCTAGTCAGTGTCTTTGATTCTAATAATTTAACACTTCATATCCAAACGAGAAGCGTTGACAGTTTTTTACCTTAATATTCACAGAAGACGAAATGGTGTCCATATAATAGCATAGCAAAAAAAATTAATTAATGATAAAGAATCGCCCTTTCCCTGTGCAAACCATTTAGCTTAGGGGTGGCCAACCTTTTCAGCAGGCGGGCAAAATTTCAAAAATAATATTTCCTGCTGGGCCACGCACTTAATTTTTTTTTGTGTTAATACAAATTAAAGAAACAAGCAAGTGTATTACAGCTTCGCTTTCCAGTAGGTGAAATCGTGGTCAAAATTGATCTCAACTGATGTTGTAGCTACATAAAAAACAGTTTTCCAAATGAACATCAGTAATTCGTGTTCTTTCTTGTGATTTGATGTGCTTCATACGACTAAAAAGCTGTTCATGCGCATAAGTGTTTCCAAATAGCAATATCATCGACAGAGCATGTTTGTAAAACGCATGATATGTATCTTTGTCCAAATACGTTTTATAGAGCTATTTCAAACCAATTTGATGGAATTTCTCCTTCATTGTGTATCACAATGTTCCATTCGTAATCTTCTTGGTAATAAATTCACATCTACCGCCAAAGGCATTGCAAATGCACAAAAAGGCACATGATGTTTTTTGAAATCCTGAAATTGGTTTTCAAATTTGAGGTTTAAGTCATATATCAAAGCAGTGTGTTTATCAGGCGCCATCTATGTGACGTCTGGTTGCAATGACAATGTAGGAAAGTGAGAAAGGTTTTTTGTCCTCAACTGTCGTTCCCAAAAACCAAGTTTCATTTGAAATGTAGAAATGATCATACATCGTCCCTATAGACGAGTATTAACGTCATTTAGTTAGCTAATTATGTCGACCAAAAATGTAAAGTCACAAACCCACCCTTTGTCTTCAAACTCTGGGATACTTATTGACTTGCTTGCAAAGAATGATTGTATTTCTTGCTGCAAATCAAACACTCTTTTCAACATTTTGGCACGGGTCAGGCTTCTTAATTCTGCATAAAATGTAACATCATTATAATCTAAGTCCAAATATTTTAGACATTCTTGGAACTGACGGTGATTCAACCTGTTTGATTTAATGAAGATCACTATTTGACAACGAGTTTCATTACATGGTCCATTTTGAGGGACTTCAAACATTAATTCTCTTGATGAATCGTGCAGTGGAAATTTAGCATTTAAATATTACCGACTTCGGAGGCCTCATTTTCCATCAAATTGACTAAACCTTTGCTGGAGTACCATCCGTTGTTAAGCCTGATAAGTTGTTAAGGTGGTAAGTTGTAACGAAAAACGAATCAATGTCGATGTAACTGCCGCTAACAAATCTTGTGACTTAGTAGTGTCCTTAAGTGGATACAGTGGCGCCAATTCTTCTGTCTTTTTAAAACGCCCCTGATAAAAATTGCCAGTTGGTCAGTATCTGCCATATCTGTGCTTATATCCAATGCTAGAGCATATAATATAAACTCGGTTGCTTGACTTTTCAAATTATCTTCAATATATTTTCCAATGTCATCCACACGTCTTCTAATAGTCTGACAAGATATACTTATTTTTTAGAAATCCTTCTTCTTTTCTGGCCACATAATTTCAAAGACACTCTCCAAATATTCCTTAACCATTTCACCATCTGAATAGGGCTTTGATTTTTTGCTAGTCACATGGGTACTCCATGTGAGATATTTCAGATTCAGTTGGGGGGGGGGGGTTTAAGGTTAATCCCCAGGATAAAACAAGATGAAAACATCAAAATAATATAATTATTTTACCAATTTCAATTGCCCCAGAGGAAGCAATTGCACCATTTGTAAATTTCAAAGACACTCTCCAAATATTCCTTAACCATTTCACCATCTGAATAGGGCTTTGATTTTTTGCTAGTCACATGGGTAATCCATGTGAGATATTTCAGATTCAGTTGGGGGGGGGGGTTTAAGGTTAATCCACAGGATAAAACAAGATGAAAACATCAAAATAATATAATTATTTTACCAATTTCAATTGCCCCAGAGGTAGCCATTGCACCATTTGTCTCATCTGTTGTATTATGCTCTTCTGTCAGCTGTTTCATGATAACATCAGAAGACAAAGCAATGCCTACAAATTAAAAAGACCAGAATACAATAGCATTTCACATTTATAAATATAACTAAATTATATTAATTATTACTAGGCTTTGAAAATATGGAAAACAATACAAAACGAAAATATGTCCATGTACGGTACCTTTGAAGTGCCAAAAAAGCAATTTTGATCTAAAACTGGAACCAACAGGTTTCCATAAAATACCACATGCAATGGCTTTGGGCAACTCTCAAGAATCAAAACTAATTAAATGTAGAAAGTATTTTTTGAAAAAACACGGCCGTAAAAGTTAGCCTATAATTCCCAATATTTCCTAAGTTTAAATTAAATTAAGTCATTTGTTGAGGTTTGTATTGCTTCTTTTTTAAAAAAAACAAAATTCATTATATGAAAATTTTATGTTGCTTTAATATTAAAATAGCTTTTTTCACAGAATCACTTAATTGTATAGATGATGAAAATAAACGTTTCATGATTCTCTTAATTTTTGTCTCTATGGTTCACTAAAAATTAATGCCCATATATCTATAGAATAACAGTAATTATAAATCTAAATAGATACAAATAATTTCAAAAAGATTATATCATTTAAGATTTCTTGCTTTTTAAAAATCGACACAAAATAGATAGTTCATAGCCATCCACAACTGCTGTGATTATGGTGAATGAATTTTTCCCATAAAAGGCTAGTACAACATGTTGGTGACAGTATAGTAATAAATCAAGGCATTGGAATGAAGAGGCTGGTAGCTAGCTGATGAGAAATTTCCATTTGGACTGAGGGAAGCATGAAGTTAATCATAGTATCTGTCAACTCCTACAGTCTTCTTGGATTGATTACATTCGTCAAGTTCTTTTCACACGTTGAAGCGTCTTACTATTCCCACTATCATTGAACAAACTCAATTCCTTTTCATAATAACTATAACTTTAATGTCTAAGTAAATATAATGCACATAACACGTGAATATAGCGCAGCTTGCTATCAGACCTAATTAATACACATCCTATCACTCCAAAGTTCCACTCAAGACTGCCGCACGACTAAAACATACGTCACAATACTGCATAGACACTACGTCACGGAATCGGCATAAAAATACATCATAGAGACAATGGCGGGAAGAGCGTTCAATAACTATAAGCGGTCAAGCGCGGGAAAAGCGTTCAACCAATAATGAACATAATATTGAGTCGCAACAATTACTAATGAACGCTCATACTCGACATATCCCCCCTCTTTCATTTCAGATTTAACTCAGGGAGTTAAATCGACACCAGACACACAAAATTTAGATGAATATCATCAAGAAGAATCTTTCAGCCATATGAATGGTCCTTATCAAAAAACATTATTTAGGTATCACTGAAAATCAAAACAGAGCTATGATATACTGCAATAAACAAAACAATCCTTCGTACATAATTTTAAATGCAATTCAAGAGTTAAAAATTCATGTACGACAATAAAAATCAGACCATTGAAATTGAATGTCAACATTAATTTTCATTTTTCATACAAATAAAAATAATTATATTTTTATCTAAAAAATCAGGGCAAATAAATCAATATCCTTACTGAATTTGAAACTATAACTAAGATAATACAATTCATATCATCAAAAAGGTGTATTTTTAAACAAAACCAATGGCCATAACTATAAAACACACAAAACTATCTAACATTATTACAGGTGAGAGATGCCGCACCACAATTTAAGCAACCTTTATTTGCTCTTAAATAACACAGCTACAGATGGCGGGACACATCTTTTGTCCATGGATTTCACAACTTTATGCGTCAACATGTTAATTATAATTAGAAATATCCCTCCCTGTTCTTTTGACCCGTGGTCATAACTCATGTGAAACCTCTGTTTTACAATACATATTTTTAAATTGTTACACAATGAAAAACGAGTCTCATAGAAAAGAAATTCAAACAAATCAGGAACTTCAAAGCAATCATGGTAATAGTTCATTTGAACAGTTTCATTTTTTTTTAACAATACAAACAAAAGCATCACCTCCCAAACTCATGGACCTGACAACTCACCTCCTCTTGAAAATCATAAACAAGACCACCTTTAGAGCTGGCAGCGCTCTCTTTAAATAATTCAACATTGGTTTCCAACTTAATGTTAGAGCACTCCTGGCTGTCAAAATCTGGACAAACATCACTCACATTACTTGGGAATTTATTTTCATTACAACTATCAGAATCTGTAACAATATGTACATTTGAGCAGCCCTGGCTCACGTTTAAAGGTGATTCATTATCATTACAGCTCTCTGTAATACTATAAAATTTTGAGCAACCCCTGCTCATAACAACTTGTGATACATTTTCATTGCAGATCTCTGCAATAACATCAAAACCTGAGCACACACGGCTCACATTATCAACTAATTCATATTCATTACCGGTACATATCTCTGTAAAAATACCATTTGAGCAACCTTTGCTCACATTACACAGTGATCCATTTACATCACAATAATTATCAACAACAATTTTCCCTCCTTCCCCCACCTCAGGGATTACACTCACCTCATCAACTTCACACAAAAATCATTCAACTTCAGGACTTACATTATCTGATGGCTCACCATGAGATACAACAAAAATCATGTCCTCAGACATTAGAACAGGGTTCTCTTTGCTTATTGTCTCTCCTTCCCCCATCACAGGGATTCAATTTGCATTTTCAAGTAATTTTTATAACTATGCACAATATAATCACAAAGCAAAAAAAATACTTTTTTTTTTTTTTTTTCTTTCTAACTATTTCAGGGATAAAAAAAAAAAAAATTTTTTTTTTTTTTTTTTTTTTTTTTCCACTTTTGAGGGATAAAAAAAAAAAAAAAATCTGCAATGGTGTTTTCTTCTCCCTTGATATATTCAATGTCAAAATTGAATTCCTGTAAAATTAATGCCCATCTGGTGACTCTCGAATTACCAAATGTAGCAGTATTTAGATATTTTAATGCTTGGTGATCACATTGAAGAACAAATCTCGCACCCATTAAATAATAAGCCAATTTTTGAATGCCCCATATTATGACCAAGAATTCCCTTTCTATTGTTGAATAGCGCATTTCCCTATCCATTAGTTTACGACTTATGTACCTAACTGGATGGAGGGTTTTGTTTCTGTTCTGTAACAGACATGCCCCAAGTCCCTTGGTCGATGCGTCTGTTCGAACTATGAACTGGTCATTATTGTCTGGTAGCACTAATATTGGGTTATTCGTTAAATAATTTTGTATAGCTTCCAATGCCTGTTGGCCTTCATCCGTCCAATGAATATTGTTAGGTCTACCTTTCTTGGTGAGGTCAGTCAACGGTGCTGTTAGTGTTGAAAAGTTTGGAATGAATTTGTTATAATATGAGATCAGACCAATTAACCCTCTGACTTCTTTCTTATTTCTAGGCGGATCAATTCTTAACACTTTATTTAAATTGTTACTAATCGGGTTTCAATAAACCCGCACCTACCGTGTGCCCCAGGAACTCGATTGTTTTCCAATTTCTAACTTGGAGGGTTTAACGGTAAAACCCGCTTTTTTAAGAATGCCAAAAACGTGTCTAGTGACATTCACATGTGTTTCCCAGTCATCTGTGTAGATACAGATGTCATCAAAATACGTAACTACATGTTTTACATTTGTGAATAGTTTCCTCAACAAATAGAACTCACCATTTGATTCAGCTGCCTCAAATCTGTTCATTGCCGCCTCCACCTGAGTTAAAGTTATTTGTCTCTGAAATGTACATAATGATGAATAATTAAACAAACATGATGGTGGTAACTAATGCCCCCACAATTTACGGATGAAGATAATTCAATGATGTAGCTGGTTGTCCTGTTGCTCTATAGTCTCTTCTGATGTATTGTAATTTATACAGAAAAAAACACCACTAAAGTAAACAAATATTTTTTGTACACCTATACTCTAATATCTTTCATATTAATTAATTTCTTAATTGCATTTGTTAGTGCTGACCACACTAGAGATTTATGGCATTGGTTTTCGCCCAAAGTTTGTTTATTTTCGATCACAAGGCCGTGATCATAGTTTATGTTACAGCTGGTGTTGCATTATATTTGTTAAGTATCATCATCTGGTTTCGCAAATTTAATCTGTTTTAAGATTAGGCTAACAAAATACTAAAAACCAATATACAAAGAAAAACTATACTGAAGTTAGAGGTATTTAACAATAATCAATTTATTTGTACTAATAAGTTGACATAAAAAAAAATTAAATCAAATATACAGAAATATAAAATACTAGGCGACCCTCGGCGTAGCATACGCCGCAAGCTTGTTGGGATGTGCGCATGGACTTCCCATGTACTAAAGTTACTTAACAAAAATGTGAACTCGGGTTAAACACATTTAAGAATGCCAATTTTGCTACCCCTTTTAATTCATGCCGAGCATACGCCGCGAGCTTGGCTGGCAAGCGAGGGTGGTGGGGACGGGGGCGGTAGCTCCACTGCAGTGCGCATGTCTCAAGACCAACGATGGGCAGGCAAGGCAAGGTAAGGGAGGGGAGGGTTTGCCTGCGTCATCTTGCTTGTTCTTGTGTATCTATATTTAGCCTGCATCTTGTTTGACCCGTCTTGTTTGACCTTTGCTGGCGAATAATATACATAGATATTAACTTACAGACAGCAAGTGAAAAAATTTAATACCAGAAAGGTACAAATATTAATCCACACACAGTTAAAAAATCTAGAAAGTGTGCTAAGTCTCATAATTCTGCCGGTCACAGCTGACCTTCAAATTTATAGTGAGGGAGTCAGAACCCTCCAGCTATAAATTTAATCACAAGAGTATTTCTCCCTCTATGTAGATACCTGTCTCCACTACGTAGATATCAGTCTGGAAACGTAAACAAACTTTACCAATAAAGGGCAGGAAAGGAGTGGCAGAGTCAAAAACATAAGGGATGGTAAGGCTGCATGACACTGCTCAACACCCTGCAGGTTGAACAAAAACTAGGGCAACACACAGGCAACATTATTAATAGAAACTTAGAATTATTTTAGAATTCATTTGATCAGCTCTAAGCGTTGAAACAACTGCATTTTCTTATAAAAGACATTTCTGATCTTCTTCTTCTTCTATATATTAAGGCCCATGATCAATTTATTCTTAATTTCACATATTGTTTCATTTGATGTTCCATCATACAATGACTTCATTGCAAAAAATAAATTATTTTCTGGTGGTTTTACTGGGAAATTCATCCAAATAGTGAATATTTATATGTATTTCCTGTCACTATAAAGCAAAAAAGATGTCATAAAATTAGAGTAGAGGTTCACACACAAAATTTGGGGTTTCAAGTTGAAAAATTACTTAAGCTTTATACCACGATAAATGTTAGGTTTATATTGTGGATTGTTGGAAGTATTAGGCATAGATGACTGGGAAAAACGCTTACTGTAACAATGTTATAATACCGATATAACAATCCTTGGTGGTAACATTGTTAACTAACACTTAAGCTCATTGCAATGGATGGCTTGCTGCTATTAATTGAATAATGAATTCATCTGAATCTGTTACTCTCTCACTCAAGAAGTAATAACGTCTTATGAATAATTTATACAGCAGACCTGTTTACCCTCAAACCCATAAAATCGTACAATCTGGTCTCAAAATCGTACAATACAATATCTCAATAGTAAATAAATAAAACTACAGTACCGCAATAATAAAGTCTAATTATGTAAACCCCCCCCCCCTTTCCGTTGCATGCAGAAGTTTTTACGACCCCCCGCTCTTTTCCCTCAATTACAATAATAAAAAATTAGCAAAGTCCATTACATATTATGCTTCAGTAAACAAAATGTGACACGGGATTTCACCACTGGTGATTCGTCCAGCCCAGTGGTTCACATAATATATGCTACATCGGACTACATCGCCCTGGGTGCTCGCTGCCCTTGGGCAGGGCCATGAGAATATAACGAAGAGCAACCGCGTGAAAAANGGGGGGGGGGGGGGGGGGTGAAAATTTTCTAAATGGGCTGCTGCGGCTTTCTCACAGGGGCGTTGCGAAATATTTAAAAAAAAATCATAATTTTATTTTTACTTTTAATCCAATGTGACATCTTTCGGTCCAGTTACCCAGTTGAGTATCTACTGTTTGTAACTACAGATGGCGCTCAGTGACCTACATACGTGTTATATTTATTTTATTCCAGCCTTTGTTTTGTTTTGGTATTCGCTATGTCCAAGTGCACTTGTTAGAACCACTGGCGTAGCCCAACGAAATATACGTCATGCGGCGTTGAACATTCGGTAGACTTAACACCGTACTGTAATTCTTCCACAATTGAGTATAGCTCGCCAATTGATTTGTGAAAATACCCCTTGACAACATCACGGTTCTAATGCCTACTACACATTGGCTGGTATTTTACACCATTCGAGATAGAAATGTTATTTTTGGACTTTCAAAGTTTCGGGATGAATGTTGCAGAATTTTTTTAATAACGCACATACTTTCCGACGAGGACACCAAACCCCCCCCCCCCACGCACACCGAACTGTCATTACGAAAATTTGGCGGTGTTGAGTATACAAATTGAAATACTTAGACCGGGTCCATGCACACAATCTCTTAAATCAACACCACTCCTTTTATCTCTGATTGATCGCTCATGAAAAGTCCGGCTGTGCTGTTTGTGTCTGGTGGACCCTTATTTGAAGAACACAACTCAGTAAATTTTGTCTGATATTCAAGATAGGTTATCAGCTAAGAAACTTTCTTTTGCTGAATCTGATCTTAAGTTGAAGTTCCTTCTTCATCATCGGTTTCGCGTGCCTTTCATTTTGTCGATGCCATATCGTAATGTATTGTGCATGCTCAACTACAGTAACAAAACCAAAAAGGCTCGCCGGTAACATTAAAATACCGCAAAGTGCACATCCGTCTATGGAGCCCACTTCGTACGCCAGGGCTGTTGGGACAATGGGACATCCATATATAACATACTTGGTAGGCAAAATGAAATGTAAAAAATATTCATAACCCCCCCTCCCCACCTTGTCAACGTAAAGCTATCCAACTACTACGTACACGCTGAGGATGCGCATGACAGCTTTGAGGGGAAGTGGGGGGGGGGCAGAAGGCACCTACATTTATGCATGATTTCTTCAATGATTATCCTGACAGTCTCTTATGGAGCCAACTGTCACCTGAAAATCTGTGAAGGCCATGAATTCCAATTAGGCCCATTATTAATTATTATTATTAAGGCTATAAAACATCACCAGTGTTTCACAGTTATCGTTTACTAATGCTTTGTGTTTTCATCAAGAAATCACTGTAGCAGTAATATATGGTGACAACACGTCTTTCCGTGCTGTGACGTCATTGTTTCCAACCCTCCCCCACCCTCATTACTGGGAAAAAACTGTGCCGTTGCCTACCCAAAAGGCGCCTGATTTGTTCAGCTAACACGCTTTAGTCCAGTGGTGCAGGGCAAACTCATTTGTCAAAAGAGAAAGAAAAAAAAAAACACCAGCAGGGCGATTAAAATTTGTTTGAGAGCCACATTTTTTTTTCAAGAACCTGCCAAGAACCATGTTTTTGGGAGTCAAAACCGTTTGTGGCCCGCTGACCGAGCTGATCGCTAAAGAGCCGCATGCGGCTCGCTAGTCGCGCTTTGCCGACCACTGTTATAGTCTAACTACTGCAAGCCGTGGACAAAAAAAAAAAAAGGGGGGGGGGGGGGGGGGGGGGGTGCCCTATTTTCGAGTTTTTTTTTGGTGGGGATTTTTTTGCCGCGGGGGGGGGGGGGGGCAACTTGGTTTAACCCGGGAGGGAGGGCGTTCCCCCCCCCCCCCCAAGATATAGCTGAAAGAAATGCTGGTAGTGATACCAAACTGTTGTATTAAAATCGTTGAAGTTGAAGGCATAGAGCTGATTTGCGAGTTATAAAAGTATTTTGTCAATGTCGCTGACTGGATCTTATAAAATACTGGATCTTATAAAAATATGCCAAAATCCAACGCTCCACTGCACAACAGTTGGATAATCTATTTTATTTTAAAAACCATCTCTATTTTTACAATCGCCGCGGTTCTGAGGAACAAAATAATTCTGTAACAAAACTACGTCACACGCTTGGTAGCAGTCAAAGGCGATGGTGGGTGAAGTTGTCGCTAGGGCGACAAGTCTAAATATTACTGTTGCCGCAGCAGCCAGCTAGTTCCCTGTGACTGTGACCACACAAAGCAGCAATACGACAATCACCGTCAATTCCATCAATACGATACGTCAGGGTTATTTATTTATATCCTTTGACACTCCCACCAATCCCCTACCCATGCGTGTCTCGTATGCCACAATTTCCGTAATCAACAACCCCACCTCCCCACGAGTACTTTCGAAATATAATAAGGATGATCCCAACTTTAAAAAAAAATAATAATACAACCAATCGTTTTTCTCGTTCATATTCACTGCCAGATCTTCATTAGAGAGGGCTAAAACGTCCAAACCCGAAAATTTATTAATTTTTTTAAATCGGGGAAAATTTTTTTCCACCGGGTCTCTGAAAATCGTAGTTTTGGAAGGTCTTGGCGTACAATCGTAAAAGACATCTAAAAATCGTACATTGTACGCCAAAATCGTAAGAGTAAACAGGTCTGATACAGTACTTTATTACATTAAATAGATGAGTTGAATAATAAATCTTGCTTTGAGTATATCCTAGTGACAGTGATAGGATGCAATGAATAAATACACACATGTTCCACAATTAATAATCCATACAAGAAATAATTCAATATGTCTGTCCTCTTCCAGATAAAAAATCGTACACTACCGCTCTACTTAAGCGTGTATTCTATCTCCGCTCTAAAAACTAGTTCCCGCTTTTCTCGTGAATAACATCGTTCTGAAAAAATACTACGCCATCGTGTCGTGGGAATGAATATTAGGGTCATGTGTAAAATCATAATTAACTTGTTCTGTTACACTTACCCCATGAGATAACTCATTCTTGATAATCCGTACGGTGTCAACAAAAGCCTGCCCCTTGTACTGTCGAATGTATCCACAATTAGGGTACCAGCGGGCGTGTTCTACATCTGGGTCGTCTCCAGGTTCCCATCTTTTTATAGCTCCCCCACAGTGGAAACACCTTACTTGGTCTCCATCACCTAGTGTACAAATATTGTGCTATTTAATAAATGACAAACAAATAAACTTCCAGCAGAGGTTTTATAATCAATCAACTCTTTTTTTTTTTTAAGACTGCTTCTTTAGTAACCTGTAGTCTTGCATCCATTATTTTATAATATTTCATGAAAATATTTTAATAATTAAAATATTTGCAAACCTTCATAATAAAGTCCAGATTTAACTAAATTCTCCTCGGTGACAGGTACATCAGGTGGCCACCCTCTAAATGTATCAAGCCTCTTGGCTGGAGTGGCATACTCTGGATCCTTGGGCTTTTCATAATGATGTTCTTGATCTTGAAGGCTTAAGCTTTGTTCATGACTTCTAGTGGTGGAGTCCACAGGATGCTTAGGGGGTTTGACAGAGCGACTGGGGCTTGCCTGAGAGTTGATGTTTGGGTGTTGGAGATGATTGCTGGTGGGTTTGTTTTGAGGAGGGGGGTTATTTGGATCAGAGGTAAATAGCTTTTGAGAAGTTGGAGGTTGATTTATGTCATCACATCCTGAAGCTGCTGCTGTTATGGCCTGGTCAGAGTTCGTCTCAGTGAAATAACTGTAGTTCTCTGCTGATGTTGCTCCTTTGGCTGAAGAGATAATGTTTTGGTTTAATCATTATATCCTCTTAAATATGTTCCTATATTAATTTCTGGTATATGAAACTTGATATAACACACCAAAAAATGGCAGCGTCAATGTGTGAACTTGCCATCTACTAAAGTTACATGAAAAAAAAAACAAGCATTCAAGTAACACACTTTGTAAGAATCCCAATTAGTGCTAAAAGTGTGTGCGGAATTGAATTCGCCTTTACACTATACATATATACATTCATACCTAAATAAATTTTAATTTGTTACAGGGGGGGGGGTTGTTACAGGGGGGGGAATGGCATACAAATGTATTATTTAAATTTTTTTTTCATTACATTATTAGAAAAAGAGCTGTCTATAAATCTGTAGTTTTTAAGAATTTAAAATCTGTAATTCAAGCAAAACTAAAACTTAAAAACCCATAAGCAGAAGTTACCAGCAGGTAGATTAACTCTTGGTTCATTTCCATCCACTGGATCAGATATGGGACTTATAGGGTGCAGTTCTTTATCTGCATATGGTGGAAATTATATGAGAATTCTGATTAAGTTTGCATTATATTTATTCATACAGCTTAACAACCGGCCGACATTTTAGCCATGTATTTATTAATCGCATGACAACAGAGATATTTTACTAAATGTCTTTATTAAAAAATTTATTTATTCCAAAATATTAAAATGCCCCTGAGTTCACCGTTACTACATTATTTTATCTTTCAATTCAATGTGGAATTTATTGTTTTCTCTAATCCACTAGTAATAAAATGGTACACTGAAAATTGAATAATTAATAGTCATATTATAATTATACATATATATGAGAAATGTTGTGGGTTGTTTTAGTAAAGTTTTGAAGATCACAATGCATCTCTAATTTCCATACAGTGGTGTGCAAACTTAAAAAAAAGAAAATTCCCATGAACAAATTTTTTTGCATGGTGACAATAAATAACCCATTCCCCTTTATTCTGTCGAAAATTAATCTTCAAATAAAGAGGGCAAAATTAGGAGCAAGATAAATTTTAGAAAATGAAAATAAATAACAAATCCAAGGGATGCAAATATAATGATAAAAAGGAATGTCAGTTATTGTTCTTTCAACACATTAACAGAAATAGGAGGTTATTTAACTGGTGACTATGGTACTATTGCTAATATAAATTTTTTTTCAAAAGCTTTCCAAAATATCTTTACCTGTCCACCTTGGGCGTGTGCCTGCTTCTTTTTCGAAACTCAATGCAGCCTGGGTAGATGGCACCTTCCGTGTGTTTTCTACAGGTACAAATTACAGATAATGTGTTAAAATATTTATTGCCTGGAAATAAAAAGTAAAATATATTCCCTCAAATATCAGTTTACCTTATGCTCAAAATATGCACAAATTAAAAATTAATTTAAAAAAAATCTGTTTCAATATTTCAATACTAGTTGGGAAAACTCCTAAGAATTAATGTAGGGTTAAGTAAATATTTGTTATTAGCATGTAAGAATAAATTATGACAGTTCCAAAGTTCTGAACTGAATTTTATTTCTTACATCACATCTATCCTACTATAATCAACTCTATCCTACTATAATCAAATCTATCCTGCTATAATCACATAATATATCCTATGATAACATTTTGTGACAAGATATAACACACAAAAATCACATTCAAACATTTTAAAAACCCACTGCACTGAGACAGAAAGAATATGGAAGTTTAGAGAAAAAAAATTGAATGCATTTATTACAGTTTTAGAATACTTTGAAGCTTTGAAATTTATTTACTGCTCAATTTTTAAAAAAATTCCTTATTGGTAAAAATCAAACATGCGCCACAAAATAGTATTAGGATATATTTCTTTTACTTTTCTTCACTCTTTTACTGCAATGTTAAGTATTGTGACAACAATGTTGGAAAGTTGGCTGTAGATTGAAATCCGTTTTTACCTAACATGACTTGAAGCTCAAACAAAATTTAATTAGTTTACAAATGGAATCCAGACAGCAAGACAAATTTGGCGTGTCATGCTGAAAACTATTCTGGATATCACAGTCCACCCTTTTAAAACTGAATTGAACATTCGATATTTACACATAATAAAAATATTTCTACTGTATGAAACCAAAACATGGAGGAACACTCAGGAAATTAACAAATATTTTCAAACATTCATGAACCAATGTCAATGAAGAATACTAAATGTCAAATGGACTGAGAGGATAATGCTGAACAGTGAAACACTCTTCATATGACATCACACAATTTTTCAGATAGATTGGACTGGCAGAGAGGAAAAAAACACAGGTATCATCACCAAATTGGAGCTCACTCACATAGAACACTCAAAGGGGAAGATGTTGTGGGAGACATAAAGCACCAAATTGAAGCTCACTCACATAGAACACTCAAAGGGGAAGATGTTGTGGGAGGCATAAAGCACCAAATTGGTGCTCACTCACATAGAACACTCAAAGAGGAAGATGTTGTGGGAGGCATAAACCACCAAATTGGAGCTCACTCACATAGAGCACACAAAGGGGAAGATGTTGTGGGAGGCATAAAGCAACAAATTGGTGCTCACTCACATAGAGCACTCAAAGGGGAAGATGTTGTGGGAGGCATAAAGCACCAAATTGGTGCTCACTCACATAGAACACTCAAAGGGGAAGATGTTGTGGGCGGCATAAAGCAACAAATTGGTGCTCACTCACATAGAACACTCAAAGGGGAAGATGTTGTGGAGGCATAAACCACCTAATTGGTGCTCACTCACATAGAACACTCAAAGGGGAAGATGTTGTGGAGGCATAAACCACCTAATTGGTGCTCACTCACATAGAACACTCAAAGGGGAAGATTTTGTGGGAGGCATAAAGCACCTGAAGAAAGGACCTTGAGTTGACAGGAATGATATGGAAGAGACCTACTATAGAGGAGAGTGTTCACTGATGGCCAATGCAGCACAGGCGGGGGGAGAAAACAGTTAAATTTAACTTTTGACCATTTAAAAGTACAACAGATTTACAGATAACTATAACAGTAACAATATTCACCTTTAACCATAACAAAATAAGAAAAATGAAGCTCAAAAGCATAGACTTGGTCAATAAGTGCCACAAGATCAAAGGGTTACTGGAAGGAAATTTATGCTCATTTAACAACCTGACAGATTCAACAGCTCATGCAGCCCTCTCAGTCTAACATGCAGCTATCTGGTCTGGGTTTAACTTTGCTTAACTTCATTACTGTAGTGCTCCCAAAAAAGAATTCTGTAGGAACCCAACCCTCTAAGAATTGAAGGGTATACTATATATTTTACTAAGCTTTCATATTGTTAATGGTATAAGAAAAATAACCCTGTATAGGGGTCAACGAGAAATTACTCTGGGGTGAGGTTGTTAATTTAAGAGATTTTGCGCACAATGCATATGGAGAAGGGTGCAGCAGAATATGTAAGCACATTAAAATTCACCAATTTTGCAATAATTATACTTAAATTCTGATTGTCCATAAAAAGTCTATAAAAATATCACAGCAATATTTTGTAAGTATCTACTTAGCCTAGTTCCTATATAGATATGCATATGTGACATAATTTATTTCCTTCAGAAGAACCAAAGATTGTCAATTAATGTAGACAGCTAAACTCGCTATGGAGAAAAAACATCTAACAAAATTGGATGACATGGTTCACGGTGAATTCATTTAATACTCTTGTAGGTCATAACTGTCTATAAATATATTGAAAAAAAAAAGTGATTTAGGGGTAGCAGGGCTTGTGAGAAGCTCCTTTGTACATAGTCTTAGGGGAGAGAGGTCCAAAAATCTACAGGTTAAAGCCGGAGGTGGGGTATGAAAATATAACTTTTTGCATATGCATTGAACGGTTGGCTCCAACTCCAAATAGAGTTTATCACTGATGTCAGCTTGGGCTTAAACAAATCTCTCAAGAAGTCTTTTCGTTAATCCACAGAACAAATACACCAAATGATCGCAAAACAACATTGGCAAGCAATGCACATCCAGACTTTTTACTTTAAGTTCTGTGCTCCTCGAGTAGATTGAAGTGAATTGCCAAACTGCCGCCAACTGCAAAACTGATGTGAAGCCCCACCAAGCTGTGGTTGACAAAATAGATTCATGTTGGAAATTTCATGACATGATTGTGCAGTTGGCTTCTTCGTGAAAACAATGATTCTTAACTAAAAAGGAAAAACATAGGTGACATGTATATATATTTTTTTAAAGCTTTATTGATAAAAAATGTTTCTCCAGACACTTTTTGCATTGTTAAGAGAAAACTTGACTTTTTGGTTTAAGAGAAAACTTGACTTTATGCATCGTTAAGAGAAATATTGACTTGTTGCATTGTTTAAAGAAAACTTGACTTTACCAAAAGCAATATTACAAGACAAAAAAAACTGATGGAAAATGAAAATAAAGATAAAGCTGTTGGCTATCACAAATTTGCCAGAGTTCTTTTCTTTTTTTTGGTAAAGTTGTTTGAATAGATATGTCACTTCCAGTAAAACAAAGTAACTGATTTCTATATTTGTCTTTTTTCATCTGATGTCTATATATGTCTTTTTTCATCTATAAACTCGGCAAACACTCAGTTGTGCGGCATAAGTGATAAAGAAATATAGGAAACTCAAGAGATAAATTGCAACAGTCTCTGCTGTAATATTGAAAATATACAACATGTGACCTGTCCGCCTTAAAAGTTTGAAAACCTCTGATTTGCATCTTTTCGCTCTTTTGCCTTAAAACTTAATAAAATATATGGGAGTGGGGGAGGGGCTGTGATTTTTTTAATTTTACCCCAGGCAGCACAAGTTACACCACAGAATGGGTGGGTGCCTCAGGTAGCACAAGTTACACCACAGAATGGGTGGGTGCCTCAGGTAGCACAAGATATGCCACAGAATGCGTGGTTGCCCCAGGCAGCACAAGCTATGCCACAGAATGGGTGGAAGACAATGTAAGAAAAAACAATAAGTTTTCAGAGAGAAAGAGCAAAATGAGTTGTGACATATCAATCCGCTTTCAAATAATTTGTGGCTGTCATGGTTTGGCTAAGTAAACATGGACACCATGAATTGAAAGAAAATAAATTATTCACACTGAAAGAAAACATTTTAAAAAATGATATTATAGTCTTTTAATTAGCCCTACTCCACTTACTGGAATCGAGTATACAAAGAACAAAAATGATTTTGGAAGCAACCCAAAGTGGAGTCAGTCTCCATGGGCGAGATAAATAAGTTACACATCAGAAATTGGTATATAGATAGTTTTAAAACCAATGAAATAATGTATTTAACCTTCTTCTGCAAACACATTTCAGTGAAAGGAAAGAGGATGTGTACATTTTTATGTGAATTACAATATATTTAAATCTGATGACATTACGGTCGTCAAAAAAGGTTTTAGATTTTCTTTCAAAATAAATGTTGTTTGGCTTTAGTAACTTTTTATTTACATGGCCGGGTTTGTTAGCCCTGGGCACAACCATCTGGGGGTCTGCCCCTTACAGCTCTCTAGGTAGCTGACTAAATTTTTGGTTAAGGTTCCCTAGCCTTTGTGGATCCCTCCACTTCCTACAAGGCAGTGGGTTCTAATTTTTGTCTGTGTTGGTATTTTTATCCCCTCCCCCCGCACCCTCTATATCTGGGTGGGCTTTCCCCTATCCGACACCTAGGAGGTGCTCAATGGAAGATTAGTGTCCCCGCACGAGGTATAATAGCAGGAACTTTTCGAGGGAGACCCAAGACCCACATCCAACAGGCACTCTCTACAATCAACCACTTCAGTATCTTGATTATGATGGTGACATAGCTCCGTTAGGAAAAGACATATCAAAAGCCGGTATTGAATTAGAAGACGCATCACTAAAAGCAGCTTGATTGAGGATACTTCCTGATATAAGTCAACGCCCCACATTCCCCTCTCAGTGTGTACATAATATAATTATGAATGGAACCCAACCCATCATTCCTCAACCTATTCAACGCTGGATGTAGAAAAGATCTAAAATTAACAATTGAAAATGTTGTTTTTTTTTAAATTGTAAAAAACTAACTAATTTTTTAACCCAAACTCTCAAAATCGTAGTTCTAATAGGTCCCTGCATACCATCATAACAGACATCTCAAAATTATAAAAGTGACTGGATCTGCAAGAGTCACAACTCTCCTGTGAGGACGAAGCTGGCACGGCCCCTCCAGTATCTGCCTCAAAATTCACCCGCAGAGGTACAAATAATAAAAAACAAAACAGAAGGCACACCCTCATCTTATGAAGAGGGAAGGATGCCATCTGATTGATTTATTCAATGTAAATTTAACTCACCCTGCAGTAGCTGTTCTGCATCATTTCCATTTGATGCATCAGCCTTCTTCTTCGGCATTAAACGTGCTTTTAATTCTGGTGCAAGACACTGTGTCTTTACTAAATGGCTTTCACCTGCAAACAAGCAAAAAAAAAAAGAAAAATCGTTCCTCCTGAGCAGTGGTTTTCTCAGAATTGTGATAGGCCCGGTATTTCACTATGTTCATTGTTTACATTTATAAATTAAAAATTATTCCTAATCACACCCCCCATGCTAAGAAGTTTGCATGAATATGGGGAAAGGAGAGCTCAAGGAAGAGAGGGAAACAATATGCATAGTTACACAGAAACATAAAAGTAATCAGCCACAGAATGATGGTATCAATGAATAAAATAAAATAGTTTAAGAAACGTCTCAAATATTTCCAATTAATTCTTTACCTCTAGACTCAGAAGATCCAATGGCCTTACAACAGTGCTGAAGTGACGTCCCCAATTGAGTTTCTAAAAATTTAAAACATTTAAAATAATAATTAAATGACAATTTCTGAAGCAAAAAAAACAAATTCATAAACATATAAACAAATTTAAAAATCTAAATATACAAGTTTTTGCTGTTTTTTTTCTTCTTCTTCTTCTGATTACTTTTATTTAGTGGAGGAATTTAATTTCAATTCCTTTATCAAATGTCTAATCTGTGCAGTTGCTAAAGACTACTTATTTTAACATTTTAGGCTCATTTTTAAAAAAATTTATATAAGTATCCATCGAATAATATTTTTATATTTTCTAATTTTGTGTGTATAGTAAACGGTTTTGATCCAATATTTCAAATTATTATGACAAATATGCAACGTTGACATATACACTTTAATATTTTTTGATTTACAAAAAAAAAAAAAAAAAAAAAAAAAAAAAAAAAAAAAACACTTCCTCTTTGGGATTTAAATTTAACTTGATTTATCAATGTTTGGTTACAGGTATATTGTCAACCAACTTTTATAATAGATCCAAGTTTTATAATTCTTTTCACCGCTGGCTTTGTTTCTTACTTACATTTGTGCTACCCAGCTTCCTTCGATAGAATTCATTAAAATTAAGCCTATCCTTGCATAATAGTAATAGTGTGTATATTCAGTTGCATTTAGGTTTACAACCCTTAAATATAAGAGATAAATAGCATTTAAACTATGTTTGACCAACCAGTGATCAGCATTTGTTGTGCCTGTGGAGCTGGAGCCTGGGCACCACATTCCAAATGAGGCTGGAGGCAACTCACATCATCAGAAATCTGGAAGAGCAATTTTGCAATGATTTAATTATCAAATTACATCTTGCTTCTCTTAATCAGTAATCGGCCAATTTGCTTGTTGGAGGCAACCTTGCCTCTTTATCTTACTCAATAGTTGAACATAATGTTGAGGAATTTAAAACAGATTTATTCCAATCTTACTCTCAAAGGCAGTAGCTATCTCAATGGAACCATAAATGATTTTATTTCATAACCGGCACATGCCATTTAATCAGCCGGAAAAAATTAATTTTTAGATAGCCTTGAAAATCCTTTACCATGGGGTGTACTCAGAGGGTGCCAATATGAAGATCATGGGGTCATATTAAATCAGGGATAGGAAAGGATATCAAAATAGTAGGTCATGTCAATTTAAAGCTATTAAAGTTTTGATAGCACAAGAAAAAAGCTTAATGTTATTTGTTGTTCACCAGGTCATTGTGAATACACTTACAACGGTCACAGAAAAAAAAAAATTTTTTGGGGATGGGTGTGAAATCTATGATGGCATGCTTAGGATCTTATTTTAATAAATATATATGGTCAATACCTAAGCTACATACTTAGCCGTATCACTCTCAGGATCCTGATTTGTATGTTGCCTGCTGTATATTCTTGAATGGGTCTTATTTCACATATTCAAATCATAAATGAGATTATGATAAGAGACAAACCAGCATGCAATTAAACTAATTTCCCAACACAGCCATGAAACAAATACTTATGTCAATACTACGACAATGCTTTATGAGATTACATACATTTACCCAGGGCCTAGGCCTAAGGTGAACACCCAGATCAGCTAAAGCCCGGTCCCTAGGTGGCTCATTGATGGGGTTGACATGTATAGGTGGATCATTATCATCCAAGAATTCATCCTCATCATCATTATCCTCTTCAGTCGGAGCTAATACAGCCATGGCTGACCGGAAATTCTAACGTGGATGAGACAAGCCAGAAAATTAACTCCATAGAACAATAACATACATACGGGGTGGGCCTTTAATACAGGCAAAGCAGGAAACTGTCTGAAGTGCCTAATTTAAGGGGGGGGGACGGGGGGGACGACAGGGACACACACGACATATTATCTTTTCAAAAATGTATACTTAGGTAATGGAAAATAAATAATTTTTATATAGGCCTAAATGAAGAATATTCTGCTGTTGAAGGACTCTTCAGTGATATTCATTTTTACAAATGACAAGGCAGTAGGGTATAACAGCTATTTTAAATTAATAATTGTACATCCAGACCGAATTTGCTAAAAATTTGTATCTGTTTAAAACATATGCGTTGTTAATTGATAATAAATTTTGTGGATAGTTTAATTGTTTTTTTTTCTTAATTTTTTACATTTGAATGACTGGCTAATGAAAGTATTGGATTGTATAGCAGTCCTTTTTTTTTTTTTTGTCATAACTATTTTTAACAGAAATAATTTTTTTAAATTATTTATATATCAATTAAGTAGTGTAAACATATAAAGAGTTTTAATTAAAAATTAATTGTTAATTGATAATAAATTTTGTGGATAGTTTAATTGTTTTTTTTTCTTAATTTTTTACATTTGAATGACTGGCTAATGAAAGTATTGGATTGTATAGCAGTCCTTTTTTTTTTTGTCATAACTATTTTTAACAGAAATAATTTTTTTAAAGTATTCATATATCAATGAAGTAGTGTAAACATATAAAGAGTTTTAATTAAAAATTACAGTCCTAAAGCAAAATTACTATTAAGAAACATCACTTCTGTTGCTCACTGACTAAGTGTAGAATGATGCAAAACTAAATTCAGATATGTGTCAAAATGCAGCCCTGCACTGAATTTATTAAAAAATTTCGGGGGAAGGGCTCACTGAGACCCCTCCCCAAACTCAATCTCAAGTTTTGTTTGGGAGTCTGGTGCCCTCAGTTTCTGCTCCCTCTCCTATTAAAGAAAGCACTAGATGTTAGTGAAATTAAATGTTCTTTTTGAAATTGAAAATTGTGAGTTCCTTTTAGTTTGGTAGATGTATAGTTGAACTATATAGATTTAAGCGGTGAAACTAAGCTGGGGCCGAAAGCATGCCCTCACTTAGGCGCCGCCACAACCATAGTGAAATTATGTTTATGTATGGTGAGTGTGACAGAGTCAGAGTTGGCCCCAGGTTAATTTAAGCCTAATTTTCACAATGATAGGGGCCTTACTCCCTTCCCTAACAGCCCACCCACCCTGATTAAATTCAAAGAAACCCTGGTAGTAAGGCATGGACTTACCTGGGCCAAAATTGTTTTCCTTAATATTACTTGAAGGAAAATTAGGAATAAGGGGCTTCAGTGAATTGATTTGCCCAGGGCCCACAAAGCTATTTGAGATGGCCTTACTATAACTATAGTTATAACTTATAGTATAGGTCTAACCTGTAACTTCAAGACTAAAATAAGGTGCCAGATGAAGATGTACTGACTGCGCTACTGCCATTAGAGTGGGCTTTATTATTATTACATATTATATTTCAATATTTTTCAATTGGTAATCTACCAATTCAGCATGATGAGCATGGTTATTCAAAAATTGTGTTAAATCAAACCAGGACTGGTTCGCGAATACTGATAAATAATTATGACAGGCCCGCAACGGGGTCGGGGGTGGACGGAGGGGGTGGACAACCATGGCACTTTTCAAGGGCCCAGAGCTAGAGACGGCCCCACCCTTTTCAATTTTCAAGTTATTTTTGCTTTCTTTTTTTTCTCAAAATGCAAGGCCGAGAGCTTCAGCAGCGTAATCATTCTCATAAAGGCTCTCCCGTATCCGTCATCAAGATGACATACGCAAGTGGGAATGAGCGCAAGTGGGAATGAGCGCTTGTGGCGGTGAGGCAATGCTTATGTTTAGTCTCCCCCTTTTTCCATTGCGAATCGCAGGAGTTATTCATTCAATACTGGACAATCGCACTCGCAGTTGTGTGAGTATTAAGAGTTAGAGCCTATTTTAAATAATGACTTAAAGTAGAAACTTACATACAATTCTCCGCATAAGCTAAACAATCAACACAGCTAATGCAGAGAATTGGTGCTATATCATTCATTAGATTAGGGCTACATAAGTATAAGTTTTAGTTTTTAGGGTTCAGGTTACAAACAGTGGTTAGCTATTATGAGCGGCTTTAGGGATACATTTAGTTTTACCATTTAGGGTTCAGATTTGCTTAGGCATGGCCATGGCATAAGGGCATTCTCATGAATAATGAATGAATGTGGCCATCATTCTCATTGAATAATGAAAGAATGTGGCAACACATTACTGACTATTCTGTCTGACAACAGTAACACATGAATTATGAATGAATGAATAATTTCAGCCCTCGCCGATCGTATGTCGCTAAATTATGATCATCATTTTTAGTATACTTACCTTGATTTTGAGATTTTCTAAGATCCAGTGCAAGAAATTCTGTAGATTAATTATTTGCAGCTTTTATCGAATTGGTAATGTAGAATATAATTACTGTATATTTTAAAACCGCGATTCGTAATCCGTAATGTAAACAGAAGACTGTATGAAGGATATGTCTGCGCATGCGTACTTTGGTTCTAATTTTCTTTACGTCACGCAAAGAACGACCTTGCCCTTTCAGACCCCTCCCCCCTGTCACAAAGTAAATCATCCCCAAGCTGAATGTAAAATGGCCACAAAAGTTTTTGATTGATTGATTGATTTTGATATTTATATCACGCTGGTGTCCATGCCACTTTAGCATGCTCACTGCGCTCTGGTTTTCTGAAATCTATTTAAACCAGGGGTCTCAAACTCAAATCATCCGGGGGCGGCAGGAGGTAAAGTCTGATTGAGACTGGGCCGCAACAAAAAAGCGATTAAAAATTCCATAAAGTACAAATGTTTTAAAGGACTCAACCTTTATTAATACAAAATAAAAAGATTAAGGCTTAACTTTCTTCCTCCTACTCCTTTTTGCCAGAGATCTGGAAGCGCTTCTTCTTACACAGTTGAGCAACAATTGGCTTTACTGAGGAAGCATCCGAGACCCTCCGTATAGCTTGAAGATGCTCATCAGTAAGTTTGGTCCTGAACTTTGACGTGCTAAAGTTCATAATGGAAAAGGGCTTTTCTCACAGATAGATGCTCCCAAAAAAGGCACATGATTTGCTTGAACAACCTGGAAATCGCAGGGAAGATGGAGGGCAATACTCTCATAAAGTGTCCATGCTTTATGGTTTTCACATTCACATCCTTGAACTTAGCCTTGGCGGCAGAATTGCACTGAAGATCAATCAGCACCATTTGAAGCGAAAAAAAAAGGGGGGGGGGTGGCATCTTCCACATTGAGAAAGAAAGGGTCAGCAAAAATGTGAAAAGTGGCAAACATGTGATCAAATTCTTCCTGTAGCTTTGTAATGGCATCAGTATATACTTGCTACTGAATGGTGTGGCCGAGTCCATGTGTAGTTTGCATGTTGGGAAATGGCAAAGGTTTCTCTGAGAACAATAACACAAGTTTTGTAAAGAATGCCCTGACATTGTCATAGGCAACACTGAAATGCTGCCCCTGGCCTTGCAACTTCTTAGTTGAGTACATTAAGCTCCTGTGTAACGTCGACAATAAAAGCCAAGTCCATTAGCCATTAGGGATCACTTAGTACAGGAACAACCACCACATCCTTCTCCATGAAGGCTTTGAAGACTAAAACGTGTTCAAACAATAGGCAGGAGCAGGCAATTTTTATGAATTTTTTATGCGAAGGAAGATGCTATTGTAGGGATAATTAAGTTTAATTTTTTATCGTAGAAAATGCCTTTTTAAGTAACACTAATTTGAAAGTGACCAGGCTGACCGACTTTGAATTTCCTTCACTCGTACACAGTAGCGGCAGTGCTAAAAGCGATTCTTTGATACTCTGTCAGATTGCTACGATTTACATAACTATGTTTGTGCATTACCCACATACTGAGTTAAAGAACTATTCTCAAAACCGCACCTTTGTCCATGTTTTACTCATAAAAGCGTTTAGTTCGATTTTTAAAACGGTTTTTGGCCATTATAATCAACTTCGAAACCTGTCCAAACATAATACAAATCAGAATGAGACTACTCGGTGAAATTCGACTGAAACCGTCGCGAAGGGTCACATTATCGACATGAGAATGGGGAACGCGTGCGGGCCGCATTGACACAAAAACTTTGCTGTCAGGTAGCGGGCCGCCAAATATCGTCTTGCGGGCCACAAATGGCCCGCGGGCCGCGAGTTTGAGATCCCTGATTTTAACATAAAGTTTTTAAATGTTTCTTAAATGATTTTTTATCATTTACAATTCTCCTCAAAGCTTGAGGCAAACTGTTCCATAATTTTGGCGCTATCGCTTCAAGAGATCGCACTCCGTAAAACTTTGTTCTGAGTTCATCCACACTAAGCACACTCAGTAAGTACTGTGTTGAAGACCGCAGGCTCTTCAAGGATACATGTTTATAAATCAGTTCTTTGAGATATTCTGGTGCTGAGCCATCTATGGAGCTGTACGCCAGGGACTAAATTTTGTAATTAATGCGCTCACTCACAGGAACCCAATGGAGATCTCGTAGATCTGGGCTGATGTGCATGGTCATATTTCTTCACCCGCGATACTATGACTATGCGTGCAGCAGTATTTTGTATCTTTTGGAGTCTCTGAATTTAGATCTGAGGTAAACCCCACAAACAATCGTTACAGTAATCTTGACTGGATTAGAGTTACCGCTACAGCATTGGCTGTTCTCCTATTGAGTTGCAATGAGGACGCAGCTGACCCAGGGCACGCAGATGACAGAAGCATGCCTTGACCACAGAACTGATATGGGGAATCATACTGAGTTTACTGTCAATATAAAAGCCACGGTCTCAGACAGTGGAGGACAACGGGATCTCTGATTCACCAACTTTTATTGATGCAATGGTAACTTTCTGAAGATTATCGTCTGAAAACAAATAATTTCCTCAGTCTTATCATCATTTAATTGTAGTCTGTTTGATGACATCCAATCTTTCACAGCAAAACAGCAGTCCTCGACAGCCTGAACAGCAGTAGCACACTCCAAGGGATCAGGGCGGAAACACTTGTATAGTTCTGTGTCATCTGCAAATATTTTGCGGGAAATACCATGACTTTCAATAATTTTGCCGAGCTGGCTAGAGTACATGGAGAACAGAATATTTCATAAAACTGAGCCCCGTGGCACATCACAGGTAACGAAAGTGTCCAATAGAAGATGCCTGCTTCACTACAATACGCTGAGTCCTGTCAGTCAGAAAGAAGAAAACCAGCGAGTGCAGTTCCAGTTTTGCTTCATTCTTCGATGTGCAGAAGGTGTGAGCGACTGAGTTTCACGATACTTATAATACCTGAGGCAATTTTGACCTCAAAATAATGCTTTTAAAATTAATTGAATAAAGATTTTTACAAATTAGAAAATTTCGGATTTAAAATTTGTTTGTGATGACACAAATTTTGTGCCCCCCTTCCCCCCCCCCCTGTCAAAAAGGGTCACACATTCTCGACCCCCTCCCCCATGAGCGTAACGTAATTTGCGATCAGCCCTTAGTTGAAAAACAAATACATTGAAGACCAGGGTGCAAATGTATTTAATAACTATAACAACGTAATTTATAGTTATTTTTACATTAAAATATTATTATGTTATTTAAAAATAGTGTTTTGAGGTCTCAAACATAGGACATGTTGGAATTTTATTTCATTCTTAAAATTCGGTCAATTTTAAAAGTGGGTGGGGTATAAAATACCAGTTGTTTCACAACAAATCTTTTAAAAACTAGTATCGAATCTTAGACTGTTCATCTTCCTAGAAATAAAAAACAATGAAATTTAGGCGCCTACCCCCCTTAACAGCGGCTGTCAACAGACTCACTCAGCAGTCAGAGACAGGTACGCGCGCTATTGTACATTACATGCATGGTAATTTAATTTTTTTTTAAATTCACCAGTCCAGTAACACGGACATGATATAAATAGATCTAGCGTGTTTTGTTTATAATATATTTCCAATACCACCATCGCTTATCTTTATTTACATAAATAGGATCCGGGTCGTAAAAAGAACAGTATGCCATGCCAACATAAATCTGGGTGCCAAAAGCGAAACGGAAAAAAAAAAGGTCAGAAGTAAAAATATGAAGAATTGAAGGACAACAGCTCACTTCTCCTGTATTTAAAAAAAAAAAAAAAAAAACCTTGTCGGCGAACAATGACGATTCCAGTGGTAGTGCCAATATTTAAAACGATGATACCAGCCCGGACAATAAAGGTGGTACATCCCAAGTATATGTGTTATCCAGTGGTCCAGACGAACATGATAAAGGGATTGATGGCGCATCAGATGAAGGAGAAACTAACCCAGATGCAGATCAGGTGCGTGAACAGTCAGTCTCGGAACCGCACGTCGGTGATGCTGACAATGAGCAGAGTCTGTACACGGAGACGGAAAATCATACTTATTCCTATTCATTCGATTGTAAAGATCCTGGAAACTGGTCAGAAACGCTACGAGATAACTATAGGCAGTGCATTGTGCTTGTGATTAACAATTTAAAAAGTGGAGATGAACTAGGGGAGATGATGAGAGGCCTCCCGTTAGATTGCCCCGAGAAACAAAATCCAAAAGGTTTTGTTGTGCATCAAATCGCCTAACAACGGAGAAAACTTTCCCCAGAGACTGGATTATATGGAGTGAGAAGTGTTGCGCTGTGTGACATGCCTGGTTTTTATGCCTGCGATTTCAGGAAAGTCTTCAGTTAGTCAGAGGGCTTTGATCCAAAGAAGCACAGATGGAGCGAGTTGTACGGCTAATTGGTGAGTCATGAGCGCAGCATCCAACACAAAGAGTGCTTTCTTAAGTGGTGACATTTGGGAAAAGCAGTTAAAGGTATTAGCATTGACAAAAATCTTGAAGAACAGATCTGCAACGAACTAGACAGATTCTGAAGGTTTCTGGAAGCCAGATACAGTACCATGCCAAGGAGGCGTCGTAAGAGGGGCCCTGAATCTGCACTTATAGAGACAGTTGCTTTACCGAATCTAGTTCAATGAGGATGCCACCAGAGCAGGGTACCAGCAGAGAAGGTTGCCACCAGAGAAAGCAGATTCAGAGGTCCGTGGGAAAGTCTGCAAGGGGTGGAGGGGACGTTATGTGTTTACCGCACAGGGTGACAGCAACACTGCTGAGATATTTGTTCATTTGAAGGAATTGTTTTATAGTATTTAACTTTACAGTAATCAGTACTGGTACTTATAGTCTAGTAGTTATCAGCATATATGTCATACTGAATTAATAATTTGCACAAAAAAAAGGGGGGGGGGGATTTCGGGAGCTGGCCCTAGGCGCCATTTGGTCAAGGTACACCACTAGATTGTTTTATTTATTGTTCGTAGGATCCAGCATGTAGATCGTCTGATGGGTATACATAGTATCACTTTAAAAACACTCAAATAATTTGACTTAATTATAATTAAGCTGTATAAAGATACAAATAAAATAGATAATCAGATTCATCAAGTCATTGCTTTATCTGAAGGGAAATATTAGCTTGATCTAAGCTGGCAAGCACATAACTTCAACTGGTCTGGCCACTGTCATTCTGGAATATTTTATTTGGTTTAAGTGACTGGGAAATGTTATTTTAGTATGAATGCACAGTTATTTCATTTGTTCAAAGACCCACTCATAGTCGCAACAATAGAAAAAAGGCAGACTTTGATGGACAGGACATATTGAAAGGATGCGGTAATGTGGAGCAGCAAAAGTGATCTACAGGCAGAAACCTAGGAGCAGACGGAGATGGGTTGACAATGTAGAGAAGGACTTCACCAGTTAGGGGTTTGCGCATGGAGGCAAAAAGCCATGGGTCGATCCGAATGGAAGGATGTGGTGGAGCAGGCCAGGGCCCTACATGGGGTGTAGAGACACTGATGATGATGTCTGAATGGAAGGATGTGGTGGAGCAGGCCAGGGCCCTACACGGACTGTAGTGCCACTGATGGCGATGAAAAAAGTATAAATGCACATGTAAAAAGTAGTTGAACAGTTTTGGCAAAGTTTATTTGTTATAATTTTAAAGTAAAGTAATTTTTTACAATTAAGATATATCAACTACGTTTTGAACAAAATGTTCAGCAGACTGACAATACAATAAAAAGTAAAACGATACAGAATTACTGGTATAACACGTGGTTGTAAACATTGTAACCCCCCTCCCCCCATCCCTTTGCCCTCTAAACCAAAAATCAACAAAGAGGAAACAAATAATTGTTTCAATTGTACTTGTAGCGGCAGATGTGATTTTTTTGGCTAGCTGTGACGAAATTTATCTTTTGGTTATCTTCTACTAGTACTAGGTCTAACTGTGTTTTTTTTCTAGAGATTTCCTCCCTAAGCCTCGTTACTGTCACAAGTCAAAATAAGGCAATTAGTGTTTGACTCGACCCATGCAATGGTATAGCCTCAACCATCACGGAAATAGCATTATTTGAATAAACTTTACCTTACATTTTCATCAGTACAGTTACAATACTATAATAATCACAATTAATTTAATGATGCTATAGCAATATTTATTTAAAAAAAAAGAAATTCTAATTATATAATAGTTACAAATGACAAAACAGTTTTTATAAAATATCGACAGAGACTTTTAAATGGATCTATATACAGAAATACAACACAAAAAAATTTTAAACCTCAAAATAGATTTGAACAATCCCTATGCAAACACCACCCCCCCCCCCCCCAACCCAAAACCGCCCCCAGTATTTTTATTTAAAAAAAAAAATCCAAAACAGTAATTAGTAATTATAGCCCTGTGATGTCACATACATTAAAAACTAAGATTTTGTAATTCCTACATGAATTCTAAAAACAAAAGAAGAAATCACTGACACCCTTCCATTTCAACATAATAACTAGTTTCAATAAATCTCAAGTTACAAGAAAATAATCCCTGTTTTGTTTCCCTTGGTGGGATTCAAATAAAAATCAAAAGTTGCCCTTTATGTGCTGAAACAAGCGTTATGATAAATAAGTTTCTGTTATTATAGATGTATAAGTTAATTAAGTGAGTAAATTAAATTTAACACATGTGGGGGAAAAGGGGGGGGGGGGAATATCATAGATTCAACTGCAACATAATAAGCATCAAAGGTATTTATGACATTTTCAATCACAATGACAAGGTTTTATGTAGATCCTTTATACACATTAGAATTGACAGTTACAATTTTTTTTAAAATTCTGCTTCAGCATTCAACATATATTTTCTCTAATTAAAGGTACGGTACACATAATGTTCAATTGCTCACCATCATCTGGTGATCATTTATTATATAACAACAGTTTTAAAGTTTTTTTTGCATATTTAACGAATATTTGCACGAACATAAGCCCTTATGTGGCTTCGGCAAATCGGGCAATCATGAAAAGCCACTGCACACTCTTGACAGGACACAAGATGGCCACATGGGAGGAATACGATCTTGACTTCTTTATCCATACAAATCTTGCAGATTAAGTTGTTACGAAGTGTGCTGTTCTGGTCTTTTAGTTCCTCAATAGTATCTGAAATGCAGAATATTAAATAAGTTCTTCAGCAATTTTAAATGCAGTGATATAAATACTATGTAATGTAATGATTGTATGTTCATAATCCAGGCAACCTTCTGTTTGCAAAAATGACTAAAATATTGGAAATTTTTTCAATTCACTTAGAAATTAAGTGACACAACTGACATCTCATCAGTCAATTTGATTCAAATATAATATATATATTAGAACAGCCAAGACATTTCTTTCTTTTCTGTCCGGAACACTATTGGTAAAAATATACACAAGCGAACAAAATTTAGAAAAATAACATGCTCTTTTGATGCTAAAGAACTTTTTTGCATCATAGGAACAAGCGTGAACATTAAGAAATTTAAAGTTAGTGTACATTTTAATATGAAGCTGGTAAGATCAACAAACTTTCAGAGGGATTTTTAAATGAAAAAAAGAAAGACATCACCAGTCAAAATCAAAGAGCAGAACCTTCTCATAAATTTTGGAAAGTTGTTATCAGATCATCGAAAGTAAAGAGAAATTTTGTTTGAAAAGTTTTATTTTTGTAGATGAACAATGAAAAGGTACCTTACTGTCACTTTGATTTGCGCGGGGGGGGGGGGGAGGGTGGGGGGGGGGGGGGGGGGGGGGGGGGGGGGGGTGTGTATGGGTTAAAGGAGTGAAAATGGATGGCGCTGTAGTTTCCCAAGTGAAAGTAGGTATAGGTAAAGGGGTCTGGAGAGGATGGGAGCCCTCTGTGGTTATGCGCCTCAGTGGTTTCCCACCGGTTATTTCTAGTAATGAATATTAAACCACAGATGTAGTGTAAAGCATATTAGAAGACCAAAGGCCAATAATTTAAATATTCTTTTAGTTTAGGTTGTCTCTATTTAGTAAACAACATTCAATACTCATTCTAAAGCCAGCATTTTAACAATCATTTTAAGGGAATCAGTGGGGTGCTTGGCTTATGGGTGGACCGCAAGAGATTTAAAAATAATTTTCCATTGGTGCATTGATTCAATAATAGAAAACAATTACAAAAAATAGTAATTAACCAAAGTCACTGTAATGTCATGTGAAAAATTAGGTCACAAATTTGGGTTCATTCCCCACTGTTCCAATTTTATAGACGGTAACAGCAATTGGATTCTATTTTTAGAATGTAGAATGGTCAGGGAGGTCGGCTTAAGAGTGGTTAAAAAACTTTTCAGGCTTTTCGACGCCTAAACTAGGGTAGTCAGCTTATGAACAATTTAATGTGATTTAGATGTAACATAAAGTAAAGCTAAATAGCTGGTCATATTAGTTTATAGTTGGTGAGATTAGTTTATTATGTCATTTCTACACCACATGTTGTAAGCAAGGTTTTCATTAACTTCCCTTTAACAAGTTGACTTTTCTTGCAGTGTCAAAATTTTAATAATGAACATAAATATAAGTTAGATGCCAGCATAGCATTTGAAAAAATACAGGACCAGAAAACCATGAATAATTCAGTATTCAGGTAAAAATTTTCACCCTCTATGGTGAACAGCACCCTGTACATGTCAAACCTAATTCAACTATGACGTTAACCATTTGTATCTTAAAGACGCCAATTCTTAGAATAAGTAATAAGATGATGCACTGGTACCTAAAAATAATCTAATCAGAGACTTACCAGTATTGCTTGCTCCTGAGGTAGCCCTTGCCCCAGCCGTAGCCCCACTAGACCCATCTGTTGCATCATGCTTCTGTGTTAGTTGACTCAGGATAAGATCAGATGACAATGCAATGCCTACCAATAAACAATAAAATTAATGTGTTACTGCACACCTATTGCCAGTTAAGTAAAACAAAATTAAATGTAGTTTTTTCCCCCACATAATTTCAAAATTGTTTCCTTGGATTATGAAAAAATGCAACCTAAATGAATCCCCTTTCTTTTGTTGTTGTTTTGTTTTGTTTTTCTTGAGGTGCCCTTAGTTATGGGTACCGCACAGAAAGTGTCCATTCTTACTTTGGTTCCGCAAAATCTGTGCAGCTTGAATGACCTCTTCCCTAGTGTATGTCAATGTTGAGTTTGGTGATTGGATCTCATCAAGCAGAGATTTTACTGCTGCATCATGTTCCACTGGGTCCTCTTCAAAGGCTGTGAATGTCAAAGATGCAAAGTTCACATAACACTATATAAACAATGAAACCTAACTACTCCCACAAGGGGCCATCCCTATAATATGTATACAAAATGAAAAGTCTCCTCACACCCGCTCAAAAACAACAACAAAAAAAACTCAAAGAAAAACATTTTATTTAATATTATAGACAATTCTGACGTCACAGTGAGTAAACAAAATGTCTTTTGAGTTTTCACAGCTGACCAATTGGGAAGCCTGGTGGTTTCTAAATTATGCGCTGTGCTGCCCTAGGGTGCCATGTTTCCCTCTGTTAGGACCGTGACTCGCTCTGGGTGCAAACATTAGGAGATGGGGCAAGGATTGGGGGGGGGGGGGGAGAATAATCTTTACGTAGGACCTTAATAGTGATTGAACTCTTAAATGCCACGTACTTCGCAAAGAAAAGTGTGCAAAAATTCATTTTTTTTTTCTGGTCTTCCCTGAGGAATCACTTTTCTATATAGTGAGAAATACTATTTTTAGATTTCCCTGGGATGGCCCTGACCTCTGTTACCGAGGCTTTTTCACAGGCACCATGATATATCACACAACTTTCCAAATTTTTTAACATTTTCATTTACTGCTACTTTTAATCCAATGTGACATCTATCGGGCCTGGTGAAAAGAGTAACTCACTTGAGTTATTACTGTTTGCTCCTGCTGGCTTACACTTACTGACCCACACACACTGTTTAATTTTTTTTAACATAATCTTTCATTATTTTTATTTTAATGCATTCGCTATTTCAATGTGTACTTGTCAGAATTTAACACAGGGTGAAAAGCTGAATTTGGCAATGGCCCTGGAAATTGAAACATGTCAGGAACCACTGGTGTGGCCGAAAAATTTGCCAATTACTGTGGACTATTACTATTACTGCTACTTCTGAGTAGGCCTACGACTAGAGTGGCATCTAGATATCAGTAGACACAAGGCAACATTATGTTTTCAGAATTTCATGATAAATATTCTATATTTGTGAATATATCTACATACTTTTTGTCGAGACAACCCCACCCCCCCCCCCCCCCCTATGGGTATGCAAAATCTCCAAAATGAGCTATGGCCCTCAGTGCATATGTACTATATGGATGGCCCCTAAACCTATTAAAACAGTATAACAGAGATGTTAAGCACTAATTATAAAACAATATTAGAGGTGTACATTTTTCAGTACCGGTATATAACCAATATCTGGGAAAATATTTAAAAAAAGAGAAATTGCAACATTAAGTATTTTGTTTTTCTTTGATGCTTTAGTTTTAAAAAAACATTAAAAAAAAGAAATTAATATGTTAAATAATAAACTACGGTAATACTTTTTTGAGTTCCCTTAATTAAAAAAAACTTTTAGCTTAAAAAAAAAAAAAAAAGGAAAAAAAACATCACCCTGCTTGGTACTTGAATTTTTATAACTTTTTTTATTTTATATGTGCAACAATACATTAGCATTGCAGCCCTCTTGTGCTCATTTAGAGGCAACTTTATTATATTATTATATAACTGCATACGGCCTGCCTTTATAAAAATAAAGCACCCAACTGGCCCCTTTCTTTACGATTATACGGAACAAAAACTCACCATTGGATTCAGTAACACCCAATTTGTCCATTTCCTCCACCACCTGAGCTAGAGTTATTGTTTTCTGAAAGTTGGTTGATGATGAATAATAATTAGATGATGAATAATTAGTTCATAATGAATAATTAGCCGATGATGAATATTTAGATTATATTATTTATAATAAGATGATGCTGAATAATAAGATGATGATAATTCAATATCATAAATAATTAGACACTAATGACTAGTCTTAAGGCTTTATGTTTTTGTTGTTGCATTCCTTCTTTTGTTAGCTTTAACTTTGTTCTCTCACATATGTTTTAGCAGTTTTGCATGCATGATACCAGTTTACACTGAGATGGCCCACTTCCACATGGCTTTTGTAAGTGTCCCTTGTTGCTATGATAAATGGTTTATAATAATATGTACAATTTTCTTAAGGGAGAAATTCATTTAATATGAAATTATTTCCATTCAGTGGGAAATAAACAATGTCTATGAAAATGGAGAAAATAATTGTTCACATGCAAAATGTTGGCAATTTGTCGACAGCAAATAAACAGATTTTTTTATGTGGCAAACAAACAAAAAAGAAACTCTAAATACATTTTTAAAACTAGCCTTAAAACTGTTGATTGCTCGGAGTCAAAAGTTAAAACTGACAACAAAAAATAACAGACTTACTCTGTCAGGGGGATCATTTTTGATAATCTGCACAATGTCAACAAAAGCCTGCCCTTTGTACTGTCGAATGTATCCACACTTGGGATACCAGCGGGCATGCTCCACAAACGGGTCATCACCTTGCTCCCATTTTCTAAGGCCTCCACCACAGAAGAAACATCTCCCACTGTCTCCATAGCCTAAAGATATAGTTTCAATTAAAAAGTTATAATGTTTTTAAAGTCTTACATATGCAGTGAATTCTAGTCTTGCCATATCTGCTTTAATAATAGCATTGCTTTTTAAAGACCAATAGCTTTAGAAAAGATTTAGCATAGTTTTTTCTTTTCTTTCTAAGCTTGGTGGTTTTGCATGATTTAAAATTTAATGACATTTGGGAGAGGACAGCACTAAATAAATAAATACTTTAAACAACATGACAGAAAACTGAGGTCAAGCTCCCTAGGATTATTGAAAGCAACAGCGAGGGAAAATCTTGCATTTGAAAATTATTTTGTTTTTGTCAGCTTATAAAAATATTCAAATTTGAGAACAGCATACATTTTCTTCAAACTTGGTCTGTTTCAACTTAATGTATCTACACATTTTGCAAATATGGAAGTTTAAGAATACTATGAATAAATTATATGGTTTATAAATTTTAAAAGAATACTATGAATAAATTATATCATTTATAAATTTTAAAAGAATACTATGAATAAATTATAAGGTTTATAAATTTTTAAAGAATACTATGAATACATTATATCGTTTATAAATTTTAAAAAACAACCAAAAGACTTTTCTTTTGAATGGCATGGGAGAGAGCTACCTGTAAATAGCTGAGTATCACTTTCATTTGGTATTAACATAAATGGAGATGAACAAGAATTATGAAAATATTTACTAACCTTCATAGTAAAGTCCAGCTTTTGCTACGTTCTCCTTGGTGACAGCACTTTCAAGTGGCCACCCTTGGAAGGTTTCAAGTCTCTTGGTAAGAATGGCATACTCTGGTTTCTTGGGTCTCTCATAGAATATTCCTAAATCTTGAAGGTTTAAATCTCTTACAAGTGGTGTGGTTGTGTGGTTGGCGGGTTGAATTGTGGGGTTGACAGCGGGCACTGACAGGGGTACGCGGGGTATGGAGTAAATTTGGGAGTTGATGTTTGGGTGCAGGGACTGATGGTCAGTAGAACCATTCTGAGAGGGGAGAGGATTGGTTTGAGGAGCAACTGAACTTAAAGTATTTCTTGGAGGTTGGGAGGTTTGAGGTTGACTTCTTCTGTTTGAATCCAGCCAGTTGAGTTGCTGAGCATTAATAGATGAAGGTCTAGCTCTGGGTTGCTGTCTGTTATCATATCCTGAAGCTGATACTGTTATGGCCTGGTCAGAGTTTGTCTCACTGGAATAACTGTAGTCCTCCACTGATGTTGCTCCTTCTACTGTAGATAATGTAGCAGTGTTGTTAGACTCTGTGATGGTGACCATAGGGCACTGTGGACTCAGCTGTTTATGCACTGTCTCCACGTCTTCCTCTGGTTTCCAGTTTTCTTTAACGGCATTACAAAAGTAGCAGATAACTTTGTCACTTCTTCCTTCCCCAACGTAAATGAACCCTGAGTTGGCCAGAACACTTGCTGACTTCAGGGACCTGATTGGGTACCTTGAAAAAGAAGCAACTCGCATTGTTTCTCTCTCAAAATTTCCCCAAGATATGCCAGAAATGTTGGTTGGATGTTGGAGAGGGGTGTGACTTGAGGATGCTTGAGATGGAGGGTTATCATTAGAGGAGCCTTGGGAAAGGGTTGAAGTTAGAAGCATATTGGCAATGGGGTTCCTCAGACTTGAGTCAGCTCTGGGTATGGAGGGCTTCTGTTCTATGCACTTCCAGATCTCTTCAAATGAGCTTTCATCTTGGTGCCCAGGTCTGTCCTTGGTTCTCTTTTTCTCTGTCAATTCACTTTCACAGTTCATGTGTTTTGTGCAGTCAGTACCGGTACATTTGTTTCCCCAGGCACAATTAGTCATTCTGGTACAACAGGTATCTTTCATTTTCTGAGTTGCACTGTCAGACATCATACTCATTGCAGATCTTTCTGAAAGACATCCTGCCAACTGATTTTTATCACACTGTCCCAACATCCCACATGCTTCATTTGTTGCTCTGTGTGATTTCAGTGATGAGGGGATGAGACCACACTCTCTAAGTCTTATATTCTTTGATCTACATCTGGGCAAATTGTTGGTTCTCTTCTTGGTTCTCTTTCTGTTTCTGTTATTTGTTGACCGCGTGTGTCCCTCGGTGGCACGGGACTTCTGATTATTTCTGGTTTCTTTCTTCGCAACTATTTCCACTGAGATAAGAAAATATAAGAAAACTGATTTAAAAAGCTCAACAAAAAATCAGTAAAAAACTAGCAATATTCACAAATAACAACTGGATTCAACAGAATCATTGGCTTCATTTCAACGTGATTACATTGCATAACTTTTGATCGGGTGTTCTTAACAACTGAAAGCATTTCACATGGAATCACTATGCTAAGCTAAAGACCATAAAACCATAGTCATGATTGCTATAATGTTTGTTTTCAACATATTTAAACACATTAACTATTGCTAGCATATATGGCTAGCAGCCAAAAACTTTTTTATTGGCTTTCAAAACGATGTTTTCTTATCATGATTTCAATTATGTTATAACATTTAGAAATCTGCTGTATGTTGATGGAAAGAATTTGAACTTATATTTACTTATAGTCATTTTAAAGTTTTAAATGTAAGATGAAATAGTCATGTTGCTGTGTGTAATTTCATTTACTTATGATATCATAAGACTACAATGATGTTAGGAGATAGAACCTGATTTATTACAGCTTCTGTTAATCATCTAAATTATTTACTTAAGACAACAATACCTTCAAGTTTAGGAATTTTTTTCTGTATTAACTGTGGAATAAGTTTTACAAATTGTACAGTTAAATAACACACATAAATAAAATCATATAGAAATGGCTACATTTAATCAGACAACATCTATAATTTTATATGACTTAAACATTTTATCAATGGTTGTTTTTATTCGCAACACTTCCTCTTTCCTTGAAGATTTAAAGATCACATTTCAAGCTCAAACTCTGAACCCTAAGGGGTAAAACCCTTACATTGTAAATGCAAACATGAATAAACAACTAGCTTCTGACTTCACCACATTGACAAACATCAGCTCACTTTCTTTTGGTTGTATAAGTTATATACCAAACATAATAACTAAAGTTAAAATGACCTGAAAATATTTTATTTCATTCTGTGGAATGTAAAGACAAAATTCTATTGAGTGAATCAATAAAAATTTATTAAGGCTTGAAGACAATTATGTATGGGTAAATTAAGAGAGAAAGAAAATTATAATATTATTGAGACAAAATGATGGTCAATATTTAGGTTTTGATTTTTTTTCTTCAAAATATTACACTCATATTTTTGCTTTCCAGAATTTTTTTATGAATGTTGTCTCTTTGAGATTTAAAGGCTAACTTTGTGTGTGATTTTATATGGTACTGGTAACATTTAATATTAAAAATAAACATCATGTTAGAGGCTACAGTACCATAAGGTTTAACATAACAAATTACTGATAGTAATATTCGTAATATGTCATGGAAAGTAGTTTTTAAGTGTCCCCAGTGCTATTTATTTAATGGCTAAAACACTGGACCAACTAAAATTTAATTATTCTTTTCCAAACTTATAACACAATTAATGAAGTGGAATGTAACTTATTAAACATTATTCACCTATGTAAAAAGAACCAATTGATACAATGAGATGTTAGACGATTACACTTTCTTTCAATCGGTTCTCATAATTTGAAATTTCAGTGGCAAAATATTTAAACATTTTAATATAACAAAACCATGTATATGCCCTTCAAGGAAATTTATATCCATACTTTAAGAATTTACAAATATCATTTTACTTAAGAATATTAAAGTGTAGCTTGCTCAATCAACAACTAAAATGCTACACAGTCTAGTCAACAAGAATTTGTAGATATTTTATAGTAATTTAAGACTCTGCAGACATGTTTACCCTAAAACTCTTAAAATCTTACAATATTATCAGAAAATCATTTTATACATTATCTTAGTAGTAAAAATATAAACATACAATATATGTATAATGTATACACCTCAAAATCATACATTGTACGCTAAAAGCGTAAGAGTAAACAGGTCTGACTCTGCTATACGATAAATGGTATAAAGTATTATTTACTTATATTTTCCACACAAAAAATTATCATCACATGTGTAACAAACTGTGGACCTATCAGCTATGTATTTTTTCCAGTGCAAGGACTCCTTCAGTCTAAAATATTTAGGAATAATTTTTTTTGTACGAAAAAAAAACATTTCCTTTTGGCCATAAGGGTAATAATTTATCAAATAACTCAGTTATGGATACAGCTAATTAATTAAAAAAATTTTATAGTTAAAAATAATACCTGTTGTGGGCCAACATTGTCAAACTGTGGAGGAAAAAGTCAAATTTAGTATATTTTATGGAAAATAATACACAACTGTGGAGGAAAAAGTCAAATTTAGTATATTTTATGGAAAATAATACACTAAAAAATATTGATGTATTTGATTTTAACAGATGAAATTTTAATTTTTTTTTGGTCGGAGGGATTAATTGATCTAAAAAGTCGTGCCACTGAAAAAAAAATATAAACATTTAATTTTGAAATAAAAGGGTGAAATAATTTATCCAAAAAGTTTCTCTAATCAATGTTTAACATCTGGTTAAATTAACAATTTTTAGTGTAAACAGTGCCTTACCTTTCTTGGTCTCAGTTCCTGTGGAAAAAAAATATGTAAATTTCTTTATAATAAATTTATTTTGTGAAACACCGTTCAAAATTTTAAGAAAAAACTATTTATGTTATGCCAATAAACCAATATCAAAAGAAATGTCAAAGCACAATTATTTTTTTCTGAAGATGTTTCTAAGTCAAAGCAGCTGGTGACCTAAAGCTTTAAACTACCCAAATAGTAGGATTCAAACAAAAATAAATCTGTTATTTAATTTGAAAATAGCTATATATAGTTACTCCATATCCTAATGGATCCTCACTAAAATGGGATTAATCATTTTAATGGTAAATGAACTTCGTTAAATATATTATTTTTAAATTGTTGAAGTATCTATAAATTTGTTAATTAAAGATTGTGGGCATTGTCTTGCTGTCATCTTATATTATAGGACTACTACTCTGCGAAAACTGCTAACAGCTGCATGATGACCTATTGTCCTTTATTTCCTAAAATTAAATTTCAATTAAGCCTAGTCAAATGTAAATAGTTTTGTAAACGAAAAAATAATGGAATGCTAATTTTTTATATCATTATTTTTCTTTTCATTTAAAAAAAAATTAAATTGGGAACCCTAGGTTTATTCAATTCATTTATTTGTGATATTCATTTTGATTGATTATTATTATGCTCATGTTGTCACAAGCAAAGGTGAATAATATTGAATAGGCCTAGGGAATGGTAAGATTTCCATTATTACTTTTGTTTTATTTTTAAAAAAATAAAAAATTAAGGAAACTTAGGCTTTTCCAATTAATTAATTTCTTGAAAATTGTTATTGATGAAATAACACACGTGTGCATGTATCACTGGTTCATATAATACTAATGTAGTAGGCCTATTTCAGACCTGTTTACTTTTATGATTTTGGCGACCAATGTACGATTTTGATATGTCTTAGCGATTCTCCGTCGAGACCCATCAAAACAACAATTTTAAGAGACCCGGTTTAAACAATATTTCCCCCACCAAGGGGGGTGGGGGAGGTTGGTCGCCAAACAAAATAATTACATCACCACCCCCGGAAAGACTAATGTGTTGGTATTAGGCTAAATATTAATAGAGCGATGTCTTGCCAGCTATTTATGAAAACACAAAGCATAAGCGTGACGATAACCGCAAATTATTTGGTGAGATTTTTATAGCCTTAATAACTTATATTTAGGTGACAATTGCCATTGGCTCTATTAGAGCCACAATAATTATTGTAGAAATATGTATAGGTAGCGTTGTAATTATATTATAAAAGCAAAGAGCACTCAAGGGTCTATCTTGCATGAATTTTGCCTCCCACCCCCCAACACGCCAGTCAAAATTTTCTCTTGCCATACTACTTTCAATATACATTTTTAAGAAATGTAAATTAATTTTAAATTAAAATGGCAAAAGCCGAAGTATTTGATAGATGTTTATTTATTAATATTCACGATAATGTCCTTTTTTTATTTAAAAAAAAAAAGTAAATATTGATACTTTTCCCCATCATTTTTCGATGTATGCAGAATGTATGCGTGAAGGAATGTATAAATATTTAATTATTTTGGTTTCGGCCAAAAGTCTCGTTAAGCTTTTGGTTTCGGGTTCGGTTTCGGACAAAATCAGAAAATCACTTTCAGTCGGTCTCTAGTTTTCATTTAAGAGTTTAGGGGCCATGCAGTTAATGAGTGCCATGCTTTTATTAATTGTACTACAAAATTACTGAAACTAAAAATTGTTTAGTTCAAGATTTGTTTGTTCTTCTAGATTTTGGAACCATGCAACAAACACACAGAATAAAATGATAAATCAGAAAAAAGTTCATAGTTATAGGGCTACATCCCATGGCTTCATCTGAATTGGGGTAAAATCTTTATTTAAACTTAATTCAAGGTCATAAGTCTCATACCTTGTTTTCCTCTTTCAACTGTGATAGCCAACTCATCTGTCAAAAAAGAATGCATTTTTTACCAATTAGTAAATTTAATTTAACTGAAAACAATTTTTTTAGAGACTCAATGGTTAAAAAAAAAAAAAAGGACCATTTTATCTAATGAGATGTAATTTCTTTGCATCATTTGGTGTAAATAATAAATCATAAGTGCCTAAATAGAAGGTATATACAAAACTGTCACACCACAATGGGTTTTTGCGTAAGAGTTTATGGACCATCCTTAAATTACTTACACAAAAAATGTCAAATTTACCCCACTACATCAAACCCCTTTTTACACCTGTAAAATTTGGGACAACACATGTCCCCCGAAGAAAAATCTATTCGACTAATATGATGGAAAGGACAAATAAAACATTATGTTAGAGAGATATCGTTCTGTTGGAAAAAAGCTTAACAAGGATAAGGCTGAAATTAAAGTGAAGGAAATTTCATACTTGGCTCATCGAATCACAGGTGAAGGTTTGAAAATAGATCCAGAAAAAGTAAGAGCTGTCAAGGAAATGAAGAAACCGAGCTATGTTGAGGAAGATGTTTCTGAGGCCTTGTGAAGTATACTTCAAAGTTTCTTCCCAGACTATCTGACACACTTGAACCTATTTAATAACTATTATAATGTACATATATCCAGTGGTCATGGTCTGAAAAGCGTGACACTGCCCTCTGTCAAGTGAAGTCCTTGGTGACTAAAGCTCCTGGGTTGGCATTCTATAATCCCAGAAAAGAGGTGACAATACAATTTGATTCCAGCCAAAAGGTGCTTTGGGCTGTACTAATGCAAAATGGTAAGCATTGATACCGAAAACAGATACACAAAGATTGAAGATGAATATGCTAGCAATTGTGTTAACTCTGGATCAGGTCCACCAATATACATTGGGTAGGCACACTACAATTGAGGGTGATTATGAGACTTTGGAAGCATTCATGACAAATCCTCTTTTAGCTGCTCCTTATAGACTTAAATAATTACACAAATGAAGTCATAGCACGATTGCCTATTTTAGCCACAGCTCCAAGTTTCTTTGATCATATAACCGCACGTCACAAAACGGATAATATATTTTCTCTTTCTTAAAAGTAAATTAATAAAAATAATAGATGGCTTTTTGAATTGATAACATTTTCTAAAATCTTAATACAACT